GGTGATTGTCGCAGGGGTGTTGGAAGACACGGATACAATCTGACGGGTGAAAGGGCCTTAACAAACTCCCCATTCGGGGACAAATGTCCCCGTCCCCATGCTCATTCAGCTCCTCCCCTAATCCCAACTGTACCTGAGGATGCCATGAAAACCTTTTGGCTCCTTCAAAACCGTGCTCAAAGTCAGCTTCTTCCTGAAACCTTCTTGAACATAAGCGTGCAGCAGGGATGCTGTCCCCTTCCTCAGAACCGCCTGTCCACGCAGTGCCCTTCTAGCCTAACTTCATTCCCAGCACCCTGCCTCAGACACAATAAACTCTCCACAGAGTCAGGCCGATCCAGGGGAATGAGAGAAAGTGTGACGTGGCCAATGGCTGGGGCTGATTGGTGACACAGGCTAACTGGTTAGCAGGGCAGAGGATTCTGGGAGATCCTACTATGAATTCCAGAACATGGGCATAACCCCAAGAGCTGAGTACCAGGAACCAGCACCCCCGGGGGACTGGGACAGGTAGGGCGTGCTGGAGAGAAAGGGGTTACAAGTTCTCTAAAGATGGATCTAGATAAATTGTGACCTCGATGAAAATTATATTCAGGGTCCTTCTTGCTGTGTTAACTTTGACAGATCACTTAACCTCTCGGTCTCAGTTTCCTCATCCATCACCTGAAGAGTTTCAACCAATCCCTAAGACCCCCTACAGCTCCCAAATTCTACAAGCCAGTGATATTCACAAGCTAACAGTCCATGATATTGACATGCCAACCACCTATGAGAGGAACATTCAAGATTTCTGGTCCACGGGCATTTGAACACAGCATGATGCTGACATTCAAATGTTCTCTGACATCACCCGATGATATTGACATCAAACAGTCTATAATGCTAACACATGAAAAGACCCATTGTGCTGACATTCAAACATGCCGTTGCTAATACTGGACACTCTATGACATCAGTGTGAATTGAAGGCCAGCTCTGTGCCGGTCACATTAACTGCCCGGGAAACCTCTGAGTCCACACGCTGTCCCTTCTCAAGACTCTCCTTTCCAGGAATCTAGACTCCCATGGTGGCACCAAAGAGTGGCTTGGGGGAATCTTACCTGTCCCCATCCCTCAAAGACACTTATATGAAGAATTGATGTGGTCTCGACATAATGCAAATGTAGCTTTAACGCAGTCCTGTGATTCTTCTTCCAACCGGATCCTGCAACCCCAAAATTCCAGAGTGTCATTGCTGTATCCCCAGTTTCCTAAGATGCCCCTGCTCCCTGCTTTCCATCCAGGGCCTTGCCAGTGGAAACATGCCGGTGAGGGGAAAGCACATGGAGGAGAAATCGAGGCTCAGGGCAGGACCCACAAAGGGCCATGGGCTGTGGCTCAGTCCCCACCTCCTCCCCCTGGTCCCCAGGTCCCTCTGGCTGTGGCTGTGGGTCCTGGGGGGCCTCCAGAGGCGGGGCGGCAGACATCCCAGGCTGCTGCCCAGACAAAGATTCCAAGCCCCGGATTGGCTCTGCTTCTCTTTAAAAAGAGAAGAAAAGAAATTCCTGCAAGTTGAACAATCCTTGTGTTGGATTTGGGAGATGTTATTCCTAGTGACAGACAAGGGCAATTATCTGCAATCCGCCAGCAGTTTTAGCCTAATTTCATTACTGCTGTGCAATTCTCCCTGAGCTGCTAGTCTATCAATGTCTTGCAGAACGGATTAGCGGGCACTTTCTTCATCTTCAAATGAATTTTAGCTGTCATGCCCTTGATGAATAGAGCAGGGACAGGCAGCTGACCTGAGCCAGGGGAGTGGCCAGAGGGTGACAGCAGGTGTGGCCTCAGGGCCTGGGAGGAGGTGAGGCAGTTTTGGGGTGGAGGAGACCAGGAGCTGAGTGGATGGGGAGGCACCTGAGCCATCAGCTTTCCTGGCTCCCCCATGTCTGGAACTTAGGGCTGCTTGGACCCACCTTCTAGATACCCCTTATGAGAACAGCTCCCCAGGTCCTGGACTGAGAATCCAGTAGGGGGCTCCTTTACACCCTGCAGTCCTCGGGGTCACCCCTCGCCACAGCAGCCAAACCTCTGCAAACTCCAGCTTCGGGCCTGCCTCCCTGAGACACCGTGAACCTCACAAGAGCGGAGTCCAGCGCTGTTTTATCACCACGGCGTCCCCAGAGCTCGGCTTGGAGGAGACGCCCTGTCAGTTTTCATTGTAGGACAAATGATTCTCAGTTTTGCTGCAGCTTGGGTCGGGGCCTGGCGCGGGCCTAGCACATGGCAGCAGCCCAACCACTATTAGATGAATGGGGGAAGCCACGGGTGGCGCATTAGAAAGAGGGAGGAGAGGGGGAGGCCAGTGCTTTTACAGAGCACCGACTATGTGTGGAGCGCGGCGCCGGGGCTCTGCCGATGTGGCCTCGGTTAGGGCCGGAGGTGAAGCTGCTACGTCCAGGACAGCAGCAAGCTGGGAGCTGGGGAATTCAGGCCTGCCTAGCCACCCTCTGCAACTCCCAGGGAGCACTGTTTCGGGAGCACTAGATGCAAAATGAGATTCTTCTGGGCAGAGTGAGGCCCCATGAGAAAGGGGAGAGATGACGTGGCACTGGCAACCTGGGGTCAAGTCCATGCCTGCTTAAGACCCCTTTTCCCTACTCCTACCCAGAAGCCCCCCCACATACACACACTTATCTAAAGTCCTGGGAAGAGGGCAGTGGTTTGTCTCTTTTCCTACCACCTGGCCAGTCCTTACTGTGCCCTAGGAAGCTGACCTCCACAGGCTGCCCCATCCTCTGCCTTCCACAGGGATCATGGGACCGCAGGCTGGAGCAGGTGAGGGGGAGGTTGGAGTCCCTCTGTCCAGCTCGGCCTGCCACAGCGTGGCATCCCCGGCAGTAGCCAGGGCCCCTTCAAGTCCACGGCCCTCCTGCAGGTGCTCCTTCTGCGGCTCCCTTATTCCTGGGCTCTCTGCGCTCCGTTTCTGCCCCTTCCAGTACAGGGGACATGGCTGGCTCTCAGCGTCCCTGGCTGGCTTACATCTTTCTAGAACTCTCTCCACTAAATTGTTTCCACTGGTCCCATTCCAGTGGCGTGCCACGCCCTCCAGGGTGCTGACGGGGCAATCTAGGAGCTCACTGTGACAGCGGCTTCCACCCCGCCCCCCACTCTGTGCCTGGAAACTCCCGACCGCTCAGAGGGGTGTACAATCCCGGAGGAGAGCACTGAGGTTCAGAGAGACCAAGAGGCCAGCTGGGGTACCCATGGAGAGGAGGGGGTCGGAATTTGGATCATTGTTCGTCTGACCCTCGGCCCTGGTCTCTTAACCCCCACACTGTACACACAACTCTTTGCCCCGACCTGAAGTCAGAGCCTGCGGAGAGCTCTTTGGGGCTGTACGCTGATGATGCTTCGGAAGGACCAGATGTTCTTCTTTGCCCTTGAAAGCAGCCAGGGTGAATCCTTTATGCTTCCTCGGCCCTCAGCAGGCTGCCACGTCAGCAAAGGGAAGTCGAGCCCTCCACAGCGGCCGCGCCACTGGCCCGCACCCCCAGGACGGGCTGCTCCCCTCCCAGAACATCTGGGAGCAGAAGGAAGACCCCAGGCCCAGGGCTGCCCAGCCCCCACTTTACATGGGGAGAAACTGAGGTTCAGAGAAGCAAAGGGACTTGCTCAACGCCAACAAGATGTCACACAGAGGTGCCCCCGACCCAGGAAGCTGGCCAGCCTTCCTCAGGGCTGGAAAATGGGGCTCAGACCAGCCAAAGCGAGGCTTCCTGCCCCACATTCAGGTTCTGGCCCTCTGTAGGCACCTGGGAGCCTCTCCCAAGTTTATCGATCTCCAGGGCAGCCTCAAGTCAATATGGTGCACTTTGCTAATTAATCTTTTCCAGATAATTGCAGGAAATTATTGGTTGGTGTGAAGTGGGGATGGAGAAACAGCTTCTGTCCCCGCACCTACCCGGAGTGGCTTCTGGCTGAGCCTCTGCCCAGCTCCCACCCTTATCCACCTCCCTCTTCCTGGAACACAGGGCAGATGAACCCTGTTTCCTCCTCTCCCCTGCCCAGCCTCTTTCCAGTGTTGTCCGTCCCGGATTCCCACCAGCCAGTTCTTGTACCGCTCTGGGATGCAGGGGGAAACACTGGCTCCAGGTTCAAATCCCAGCTCTGGCGATTACTAGCTGTGCAACCTTGGACGAGTTGCTTAACTTCTCTGAGCCTCAGATGAAAAACAGTAGAGAGTTTATAATCTCCACATCATTGCTGCCTCTAAAGACAATACAAAAGAAGGCATTTTCATGCTGATTGACTATGACCTCTATGACTAATAGTAACAACTCCAACAACAACAGCCAACGGTGAACGAGGGCTTTGCCACATTCCGGGTACTGTTCCGTGGGCCTTCCAGATGCTATTATCGTTCCCATTTTATAGAAAGGGAAACTGAGACCTGCACCTGAAGACAGTGAGAGGCAGACACTGAACCCCTGCTCAGACCCTGGACGCCAATCTCTGCTTCAGGTGGTGTCCCCAAGCCTGGCATACGCCCAGCATAGAGCCGTGTCACCAGGAACAAGCCCTTTATATGCCCATCTCAGAAGCCAGGGGCCACTAGCACAGGGTGGGGAGGAGATGAGGTAGGAGGCGAGGAATAGCACAGGCCACAGAGACCCCCATGACTTCCCCCTCCAAGCCCCCTCGCCCAAACCCTGGGCCCTCCTCAAAGGTCTGGAGGGAGTCATTGGGCTGGGGAACCCCGGGGCCTTCCCCCAGACCCCATCGTAATTAATCAAAAATGGACACTCCTGGATAAAGTTTCCATCCCTTTGGGGTTTCTCCCTTTCTCCCAGATATCATTCAATATATCATCTCGCCGGGCTGTACATACCTGCTCCCAATAAACCTCTAAGACTTTAATGAACTAAATAGCAAATTACTTTTTTATTCAAGAATGAAATTTCATCATATTCATAATTCATATTTTATTTCAGACATCTGCTGCTGATTACATTACATTTAACTAAAATTAGATGATGCTCAGAATGCAATTAAGGCTCTGCCAAATTCCGCGGCCCACCAATGCCAGCGGAGCTCAGCGGGGGCCGCTCGGAACCTAATATGTAATTAGGAGCTATTTTCTAGCTGTTTTTAAAGTCTGAAAATTAGCTGCCTTTATTAATCACACAGACAAATATAAAGTGGAACCAACGTTCGCTGAAATTTCTAAAAGGGATTTTTTGTTTAATTGTACACCACCGAGCACTGTGACTCGTTCTGCATGTTGATTTGTTGTGCGCTGACATGTTGACAACCAGTTCTCAATTTGTCTGGCGTAGTTAGGCAACAACAAAGCCGACGGTAATACTTTAACTTTCAAAACCTTCAGTGTGCCAGGGAGAGGGAGAATGGCATTCCTTGCTGCGGGCCCGGGGCTCCAACTCTCGAAGCCGCGGGGGGCCAGCGACCCAGGGAGAGGGCAGCCCTGGGATGGAGGGGGGCTCAGCAGGAGGACGCAGGAGCCCCGGACCGGAGTCCAGAGCTGCGGGGTGAGCGACAGCTCGGCGGGGTGGCCGAGAGGAAAGGCATCCCCTCTCTGGGCTTCCGTTTCCTCCTGTGCACCTGGAGGGGTTTCGAGTCTGAGATCTTTCAGGAGCTTTTGTGCACGAACATTCTGTCTTTTTTCCCCGTTTGTCAGACCCTGCTCTGGTGCTTTTCACATAGTCACACTGAGCCCCTCGACTCTCGGAGGGGGATCTTTATCATCTCACTGAACAGAGGATGAAAGCGAGACTCGGTCGACGATTTGTCACCAGCCAGCTGGTGGTCACACCAGACTCAAACTGATCGCACTGGCTGCAGAATCTCTGGTCTCAACGACCGTACTCAGGGCCTGGGCGGCAGCTCTGAGCAGAGGTGGCTCTCGGGCCTCGTGCCCTTCGGTGCAGCTTGGCAAGGCCCCAGGCTGACAGCCGCAAGACCTTGTCCTTGCCCGTCTGGTGACTGAGCGCCCTACCGCAGCCCCGCTGGGGCACGGAACAGGACAGGATCCCTGAGCAGGTCCTCAGTCCCTGGGCAGCCGAGCCCACGCCGTGCCCTCAGGGGCCCCAAGTGATGTCCAGAGAGTTCTCGGGACAGGGTTGGGGTCGGAGAGCTGCCAAGGGGCTCAGTTCACAACAACAATAACAGCAGACAGCTTCTCCCTGTGTGCCAGGCCGTGTGACACTTGGGGGCCTGTGCCCTCTCACCAATCTCACGAGGCAGGTTCACAGCTGGCTAAGCCTGGGTTCAAACCCCTTCTTGGTCACGGTGGCCTTGGTCAGGCTGCCTCCCCTCTCTGAGCCTCGGTCTCCACATCACTAATGTGAGGATCTTGACAGCACCCAGATGTCCGGGACCTGATGAGGACTGAACAGGATAATGAGCGCTCGGCCCAGATGAAGCCTCGACCAACGGAAGCCACCTGTTACCACCCCATTTGACAGATGGGGTCACTGAGGCTCTGCAGGACGAAGTACTTGCCTTAAGGTGCATATCACTGAGCTGAGGACTGCTCAGATGGTCTGATTCCAAAGCCCATGCTCTCACCCCGGCCCCCCGATGCCTCCCTAACGCCCATTGGGGGTCGGGAGAAGGGCCTGAGGATCCAGGGAGGGGCCCCTGGAGGGAGTGTCGAGCAGGGCTGGAGCCAAGGCCAAGGGGGGCTCTGCCCTTGCCAATCCCAGGCCAGCAGAACCAGAGCCCACCACCTGCCAAAACCTGTTTCCAGGAGCCAGCCCTGAATCCTTCTCCTGCCCCCAGACTCACCTGACGAAAATGCCAAGGAAGAAAAGGAGGGTTTTTTTTGGGGGCGACAATGAAACTGTCAATAAAATCTCAAACACGAGGATAGGCAGTGACTATTTCACTTACTCTGACAGTTGAGGTTTTGCTGGGGAAGGAGACTGACAGGCATCTGCTGACACCAACACCGCGTCTTCTGGAGAAGAACCGCAGGAAAGACGGCCCCGGAGACCTGCCTGGTCCCGGTGCCACCGGGCCGGGGATGCTGTGGGTGTCGGAGGAGCAGGTGAGCCGTGGAGGACAAGCTGGCTGCCTCGACTCCGTCCTCTCATTTGTTCATCCCACGCTGCCCCTCTGAGCACTGACATACGTCAGATTCCGTGCTGGGACCACAGGTGCAGAAACGACCCAGGAAGACTTGTGCTCTTAAAACCGTTATGAGCTCAGATGTCCCTGCAAAAGAAGTGTTGACGTCTAAACCACTGGTACCTGTGAATGTGACCTTATTTGGAAATAGGGTCTCTGCAGATGCCAGCGAGTTCAGACAAGGTCACTAGGGTGGGCCTGGGCCTTAATCCAACGTGACTAGTATCCTTATAGAGCAGGAAACGTCATGTGAAGACAGAGACACGTGTGGAGGAAGAAGATGGCCCCGTGACGACAGGGGCAGAGACTAGAGGGACGCAGCTGAGAACCAAGGACCACCGACCGCGGCCCCACCAGAAGCTGGAAGGGGCCAGGAAGAATCGTACTGAGTCTTAGAAGGAATGTGGCTCTGCTGACATCTTGGTTCCAGAATTCTGGTCCCCGGAACTCTCGTCCCAGCCTCCCGGTGTGTGGCACTGTTCCGGCAGCCCTGGGAACTGATACAAGGGCTTTTGTGCCATCCAGAGGGTCAGCCAAGAGGCCCCACCCTGGCAGGGGACTGTTGAAAAGGGGGCGTAACTGAGCCCTGAACAGGGGGGACAAGCTGGACTCCCAAACTGGAAGGCCTCTCCAGGCGCCTACGTAATCCTCCAACCTGTTGCCTTTTCTTCCCCCTCCCCTAATGCCACTGCCTTGTCCCAGCCACTGCACTCTCCCCCTCCCCCCATGCCACAGCCAGAGGACTTTCTTTTTTTTTTTTATCCTCACCTGAGGACATTTTTGCATTTATCTGCAGATAGAGCTGGAGGGAGAGAGGGGGGAAGAGAGAGAGAGAGAGAAACATCGATGTGAGAGAGACACATCGACTGGTTGCCACCCACACGACTCTAATCGAGGCCGGGGACAAACTGCAACTGAGGTACGTGCCCTTAGTGGGAACTGAACCCGGGTCTCCCTGGTCCGCAGGACAACGCTCTAACCGCTGAGCCAAACCGACCAGGGCCAGAGGACTTTCTGAGGCACAACTGTGACCTGCCCTCATGTGCCTAACACCCTCTCTGGCTCCCCAGGGCCCTCAGGACAAACCTTGTTTCCCATCATCCCAGGCCCCACCTCATACAATAGGCACTATCTGAACATTGCACTGTCTGTGGCTTAGCCTGCACCTATTCCAGCACTGCTCACCTCAGTGCCTTTGCTGCCTAGAATGCCCTCATTTACCTCCCAGCTCAGCCAGAATTCTACCCAGGCACTGCCTCCTCCAGGAAGCCCTCCTTGATCACCTTCCTACACTCCAGGCTGAGCTATGCCCCACCTCCTCCCTAGATTCCCATGGGAACTCAGAACCAGCAGTTCTTTTTTTTTATCCTCACCTGAGGACATTTTTTGATATTTTGTTCAGATAGAGTGGGAGGGAGGGAGAGAGAGAGAAACATCGACGTGAAAGGGACACATCAAGTGGTTGCCACCCACACGACCCAACCAGGGCCAGGGACAAACTGCAACCGAGGTACGTGCCCTTAGTGGGAACCGAACCCGGGTCTCTCTGGTCCGCAGGCTGACGCTCTAACCACTGAGCAAAACTGGCCAGGGCAGAACCAGCAGTTCTTTATTGCCATTGTCAGTTTGCTTAGCTGGCTCTGCCGTGGGCGTCCTGGAGGCTGGAGCCAGGTTTTGTTCACCCATGACCCCAGTGCAGAATCCCAGCTCAGACAGGATGTTCATTTGCTATCTCGGCCCCAGGCAGACTCAAGCCTTGGCCAGGAAGCTGGCTTTGAAAACAAACGCCATCTAGACCTGGGCCAGTCAGTCCCCTACTCATGACACTCTGTACTATTGCCCAGGGTCAGGGAAGAGAAACTGGCTTTGGGGGTCAAAGGATCTGGGTTTGAGTCCCACCTACCAGCTGGTTGGTCTTGGGACATCACTTCATCTCTCAGCCTCAGCATCCTCATTTGTGAAACGGGAACAGCAAAACCTATAACATGGGCTCTAACCGTAGTCATTATCGATCATCTTTGTCATTATCATAATGATCGATTCAGTGTAATAATAATGGATATCATGTGGACTTCTGTTTCCGAAATCCATGTGTCCCTCAAGGCCAGCTTTCCTAATTTCTCAGAATCATGGATCATACAAGCACCTTGTGAAAGTATCCAAAGTTTCTGTTTGTCATTTAATTCTCATAACTCTTTATATATTTATATATCAATCTCCCAAATTGATGATATCTCCCTCACCACTAGGGACAGTGTCACACATTAGGGGCTCTTGAGGGACTCCATAAGTGCTGGCTGAGTGATGTGAGCCCTCGTCACCTACCCAGGGCCAAATGCAAATCTGAAACAATCTGAGCACTTGAGATGAGGACCAAACTGCCGGACAGAGATGGCGAACTAGATGTGGAGTCAGGCAGACCTGTGTGTCCGCCTGGCTCTGCCTCTGACAGGCTGAGACTGTGGGCTAGCCATTTCACCTCTCTGGGTCTCGGTTCCCCCTTTTGCAAAACGGGGGACAGAATACCCACTTCTCAGGACGCCAGGAGCAATGTAGATAAAGGTCCCTGGCACAGGGCCGACGTTAGACAAATGGGCGGTATCTGGCCTCAGAGTCCTGGTCTCCATCCCAGCCGGGTAGTGTCGGGCATGCCCCACCGTAAGTGGTGGTTGTTTTATTGCATTGAGTTTTACAAATGTCCAGACCCGCACTCCTCCAGGGCTAGCTCCCCCCACACCAAGCTCTGATAAATGGACTGAAGAAGGGGGAGCAGATGGGTGCTGGCAGCATCACTTCCTCTGCCAACAATGAGGACACTTCCTGTGCCTGGGGCCTTCAGCCATCACTTCAGAGGACGTTAGAAAGTGCGTTGCCTCACCAGCCCACTGGCTGCTGGCATTGGGAGGGTCTGCGAAGACCCTTCTTTCCCTAAGTGCCGGAAGGAGAAAGGCCGACCTTCTTGGTCAGTCTTCTGAGCCCCCGACCCCCACCCATTCCTACACCCAGCAACTCCTCTGAGGGCGGGAGAGGTGGGCTCGGGCAGCCAGGATTCCCGAGCTGAGCAGGGCAGCCACAGTGCGGGCACGAGGGGCCGCTTTCTGTCTACTTTCTTTCTCATTCACTCAGTCGCTCGGAAAACCTCAGGCTGCACTGTGCCAGACTCGGGGAGACCACAGTGAACAAGAGAAGCCACGGCACCTGCCCTCAGGGAGCTGGCAGCTTGCTGGGGAGACAGGCGATGTGACAAAAGGCGATTGCACCGCTGGGAAATAAAACCAAGGAAAGAGGCGGGGAGGGTGCTTCAGGCAGAGGGAACAGCAGAGACAAAGGCCCTTCGATGGCACACAAAGGCGCCTGGCATCTTCCTCATCTCCGCTATCACCTGCCCCACGCTCCCTGCGTGTACTCACGCGGCACTCTGAGCGAGTCCCTGGTTACTTCCTGTCTCCTGCACCGGAATGTAAGCTTCCTGACCGAAGACAGTCACGAAGTCGGCTTGGCCCATCATGACTTCCTCGGTGACTCAGACCGGCGCCTGGTGCAGAGCTGCCACCCAATCATATCCGTGCAGTGAATATGCAAAACCGACTCAGCGATCCGTGTGCTGAATGCCCTACAGCTGTTACCGCGCTCAGTCCCCACAACCACCTCACAAGTTGGTTGCGTCCATGTCCCAGATGAGAAAACTGAGGCTCAGAGAGGTGAAGTCACTTGCGCAAGGCCACACAGCCAGCAAGCAGCAGACCTGGGATTCCTACTCAGTGCTATCTGGGTTCTGTTGCTCCATTGCCCGGGCTGGAAGTGGGGTTGGGAGGCGTGTGGGGGTGCAGCAGACAGCAGGGCCCCCGGCACTGCCCAGAGAAAGCAGGTCAAGAGGGACAGTACTGCGGGCTCCAGGTCCCTGGGCGCTGCTGGCGGTGTAGCAGCCAGAAAGTGTGTGTGTAATACAAACAGCTCTAATCTCCTGTCAGTTAAACTGGATATCAGAGGAGACAAGCTTCCGAGCGGGGAGGCCTAATTGAATCGAATTGAAAAGGCGGAATGGGCGGCCTGGCCGAGGAGGCGGGATGCCGGAGTGAGCAGGTGCTGCGGGGCAGCTGCCGGGCCTCCCTGCCCTGGTCCAGGGGGCTGGGCTCGGGGGGCACCCGAGCCAGGGCACTCCACCCCCTTCGGCCTCCCCTTTATCTGCTGGCTCTGCCATTTTCTCTCCATCGCTGACCCTTTTTCTGTTCTATGTTATCTCGAATAATGTCACTGCCTCTTTAGAATCTATTCATCAGAGCAGAAAGAAGCCAATGCTGACACTGATAAAAAAATACCATCTGTGCCTCACAGGGAAGAGCTCTCAGCCCGGCCTCTGGCGCCACCCCTGCCCCCGCCCCCGCCTGCCTGCCATTTCAAGGGGTGATCAGATTCCACCAGGGGCGGGGTGCACTCCCACAGGTGGTGCCCCCACTCCCATGCTCACGCCCCAGAGCTGGGGGACATGGGCTCTGACAGAGGTCTCGACCCTGGGTGGTTTTCTGTCTGCAGGAGAGCTTGATTTGGCCATTTTTTTTCCTTTTTTTAATTGATTTTTCTTTATTGGTCGACAGTATTTAAAAACCGTGGTGTTTTACCAAAATATCCAGATTTTTGAATTCTCTTTTAAGCTAGAGAGAAAGGTTGGGCAATCATGGGTCTACCACCCACGATAGCTGACCAGAGCTTTAAGGGGAGGGGTGGCCCTGCCCTCCCTCCCTCCTGGCTCCCCATCGAAGCATTACGGCTCTTGCATCTGTGTGCCATCACCCGTCCTGGGAGCAGGCTCCAGTCAAGGCTCCCTAAGGGCATTGGCGGAGGCGCTGGCATCTCCAGGGCAAGGACTCAGCCGGCCAGCGGTGCTCCGGCCCCTCTCCCGGCCTTGGCTTGCCCTAGCTGCACCCAGCTCCCAGCTGGTCACCGCCAGCCTGAACCTCGGCTCTGCCACAAGCACGCTGTGTGCCCACAGCTAGGTCTCTTCTCTTCTCTGAGCCTCAGTTTCCCTACCCTTGTGGTACTATCAGAGAATGCTCTTGACGGAAGGGCACCCCTTCTTCAACAGGGACCGGCCTTTCTGAGGCAGATGGCAGAACGTGGGAGCCTGGCTGAGAGCCCGTCAATGCCTGCAGGGACCAGGCCCGGGCACGCCCTGACGGTGCTGACCGGGGCCTGCAGGGGCCATTTATACGCCCGGCTGGGACCCCTGCCCCCTGAAAGTCAAGTGGGGCGCGGAGTGGATGCGGCCATCTTGGCAGCAGAAGGCAGGTGCTCAGTTCCAGGGAAGCTTCTTCCTCCAGGGTCCCATCCCCAACTCCTAGACCCATCGTAATCACTGGCTGGCACCATGCACGTGGGGACCAGTGTCTGAGGCGGCGCAGCCAAACCTGCCTGGTAACCCCAAGTCCTGCCCTACCTTCTCCCTCCTGGGCCACATGGATGGGTCAGCAAAACCCAGCCTTGCTTGCTAAGGAGAGGGAAGGACCGCGGGCTTTGGAGTCAGATGCTGCTAGGTTCCAATCCCAGCCCACACTCCGAGGCCCACAAGGCAGTGGCCGCTGGGAAGACGAAACTAGCGCACAAGGGCAAAGCTTCTGGCACAGTGAACTATCACCATTATTTCTACGGATGGGGAAACGAAGGCCCAGAGAGGGCAAGAGACCTGCCTAAGGTCACACAGGAAGCTGCCTTTGGGTTTTCTCCTCATGGCTGGGGTGCCACAGGAACAGCCCTGTAATTAGAGTCCAGAGACCCATCTCAGGGCCCAGCTTCTGCACCTGCTGATCGTGTGGCCTGGAGCAGGGACTACCCTTTGGGCTTCAGTTTCCTCATCTGTCAAATGGGGCTTACCATCCCTTCCTTAGGGCTGGCTGTGGGTGCACGTGGAAAGTGTCCAGAGCACAGGCCAATGAGCCCACAAAGGTAAGGGCAGCACTATCTGTCACCTCACTTCCCCGGGGCCCAGCCCAGTTCCTGGCATGTAGTTGTTGCGCATTTAATATTCCCTGAATGAACAGTGACCATGAACTGAGCCAGGACCTGCTTGCAGGCCTTGGCAGTCGTGGGGAGGACAGCAGCTCCTTTCTCTCTGGGTGGGGAGGCCCCCAGGAGCCCCACGAGGACAGAGCATCCCAGCAAAGCCCCTGTGCCTGTCAGCATTCAGGGGGATACCCTGGCCTCCACCGGTACATCATGCAAATGCAGTGGATGTTTTCCTTATCAGATTGCAGCGCTGTGTGCGAACGGACCCAGCTGCTCCTGAGCAGGGGGAGTTCGGCAGCAGAGCCTGTGAAAGAGGCCTCATCTCCTGTGTGTGTGCAGTTAGGGCTGCCCTCTCTGTTAGCCCGGGGACACGGGGCCTCGGCACACCTTCCGGCTGCTTAGAGGCAGTGGGGGTGGCTCTAAAAGAGGCCCCTTCTTTCTCCCTTGGGCTGTGGTCCCCCATTCTTGCCCGTTTTCAGAAAGCTAATCCCCAAGAGGGTCCAGTAGCTGCAGGCGTGGGACAGTCCCTTGGCCATTTTCCTACAGTCCTATCACACTGCAAGTATTATGGTTGGAAGAAAATAAATAAGGTGGACGATTCTTGTTCGACTTACCAGTCGGAGCCAGTGTGCTCAGGGCCTGGTGCCCCTTGCCTTCAGCCCACACGGTGCAGGACAGTGTCCAGCCCCAAGCGGCCGGTGCAGAGCCTTCCCACCCCAGTGGACAAAGGCAGGCCCTGGTCAGTCCCTGCAGCATGGGAGGCTGTGTCTAGCCCGATGGCTGGGGTTCAAGCCCCGGCGTCTCCCACTCTTAGCTCTGTGGCCTTTGACGAATCACTAAACTTCTCTGAGCGGCATCTGTCTGCTTCTCTGCAAAAGAGAAGAATCATTCAGACCCACGGTCCAAGACGCTCTGAGACCCAGAAGCGTGGCACCAAAATGCATTTGGCAGCAAATGAAACAGAGGCAGACACATGATGTCTTCACTCTTCACACCTTTCACGGCAGGGGCTGGCTGGCGCTGCCCCAGCTGCCGCGAGGGATGGAACATTCGGGTGTCTATCCCTAAAGTGCCAGCTTCTGAACTCCAGGTCACAGCTGGGCCCCCGAGGTTCAGATAAGGGACAGTGGTTCTGTCCTACCTGCACCAGAGTCCTTGTGGGGATTAAATGTGACAGCGCCTGAAGAGTTTAGCACCCTGCCTGGCATTTTACATCTGAGGAAACTGAGGCCCAGAGGGAATTCCCTGCTCCAGGCCACGCAGTCAGTAGGTACCGAAGCCAAGCTCTGAGATGGGTCTTTGGACCCCGAGTACAGTGCTCTTCCTGTGATGCGCTCGCTGTGTGGCCTTAGACAGGTCTTGCCCTCTCTGGGTCTCAATTTCCCCATCGACAGCAAGTGAGACATCAGACTGTGTGGTCTCCGAGGGTCCTCCTGACCCTGACACTTTTGGATTCTAATTATAAGCAACTGAAACGCCCGTCTGGTTGACTTTAGAGACGATTGTCCCTGTCTGTTTCAGTTTGGAGAAGACATGGGGTGTGGGGCTCACTCAACATCCACCCAAAAGAAGCAGGTCACACCAGGCTTTCCTTAGAGGTGGGGAGACGATGGCTCGGACGGTTGTGATCAGCCGTCAATCAGCTTGCCTGACTGCTGTGTTGGCAGGGCCGTGAGTCCACCGTGCGGGCAGCAGTGAGGACGAAAGGGGCAGGAGGGGGGAGCAGGGTAGGTGCCACTGGGATGGATGTGACAACTATGACAACTAGGCAGGGGTTGGAAAGGGGACTCTGGGAAGTCACCGGTCACCTCCCAAATATCCCCAAACAGTGACTGAGAGCAGGGCTCTGAAGTCACACCGACCTGGGTTCAAATCCCACTCTGCCACTTTCTTGTCTTGTGACCTTAGGCAAGTCCCTTCCCTCCCCTGGGCCTCAGTTGACTCATCAACAGCACGGGCATCCGAACACGAATCATCTCGCTGCACTGAGGGAGTTCACAGTGAGAAGGCACTTGGCGCCGTGCGGGCACGTAAGCAGGTGCGCAGGAAGGTTGGCTTCTAGCAGTTCAGGAGCAAAGCCACAGGGAGGGGCTCCACCGAACGACCAATGCACACGATGGCCTGTTCTGCAGGGACACTGGCCAGCTGTCCTGAGTAGCCCAGGTAGTGGAGGAAAAAAAGAGGTTTGCGTGTACGTGGAGGGCTGCTGTCCTAGATTAAAAGAACTGAGGGCCATTGCAGCCAGATACAAAGTCCTGAACAGGACTCTGAAGACAACCGAGGGGAAACGTGACGACGGCCTGGGCGTTGTCCATGAAAACATGTTACAGGCATGTTGCTTAACCTCTCTGGGCCTCCGAATCCTTGTCTAAGACAGTGACGGGCCTGGCATACAGTAGGGGCCAAGAGACAGCCAAGGACTGGTCCAAGTTAGCTGGAAGCTTGGAAGGGCTGGGACTCGGGGCTGCCAGCTGACCTGCAGCCAGTCGCCAAACTGAACAGGCTGCCAGCGGCCCATGGGGGACGTTCTCGGAGGGAAAGTCCTCACCAGCAGGACGAACATCAGTGCAACTGCAGCAGCTACTCTGGTTGGTGAGAATCACGGTCTTTGCTGCCTGTCTCCTAACAGGAGGCCTCTGCCAGACCGGGGATATCTTCTGAGAACTTCAGGCTGTGAGGGAGGGTGTTACATCCACGATCGGATGCAGAGGCTCGGAGCGGCTCCAAATGCTGCCGTGAGGAACTGTGTCCTCCGGCTGGCAAAGAGGGCACCGGAGCTCCGTGGTGGCCCCTGGGAGAGGGCGCCAGCGGCTGGAAGGCCAGTCAGCATCAGCTGCGTTTCTCGAACACTGACCCTAGCGATCTCAACCCAGGGGGTTTAGACAAAGTGGGCTGGGTGCTTCTCACCAGCTCTGTGCACCATTCCGAAATTTCTGGGCTCTCAGAGACACCTAATTTTTCAGCACAGGACAGGTATAAAAAATGAACAGCTACTGAGTACTTATTATGTGCCAGGCACTGTGCCAAGGGCTGTCCGTGCACTTTCTCAGTCTTCAAGAAACCTCTGTGTGGCGGGTATGGTTATTGTTTCCATCTTCCAGATGTAGAGATGCCAGCCTCCAGGGGTGGACTGGCTTGCCCAAGGTCACGTGGCTCGTGGGCGGCAGAGCTGAACGGGAGCCCAGGCAGAGGTGAGCTCTCAAGTGCCATAATGACATGCAGAAATGACCTTAGGGGTCACTTAATCCAGTGTCCTCAGCCCTGGCTGCACATTAGAATCACCTGGGAGCCAGGAGTCCCGAGATCAGTTAAATCAGAATATCTGGGGGTGAGGCCAGGCACTCCTGGGTGGTTCTGTGCAGCTGGGAGTAAGAACCACCAAGGTAGGCAATGAGAAGGGGTAACTGCAAATGCAAATCATCTGCAAATGTACTTTAAAGACAGTAGTGCATATGGGGGCTGGTGGCGGGGGCTAGGGCGTGACGCTGTGCTGGACCAGGCATGCAGGTGGCTGCTTTATGGGGCAAGGGTAATGGGTTGGCCTCTGCTCCACAAGTGACACCCAGTCCCCAGGAGTCAGGAAGAGGGAGGGTCTTAGTGAGCATAGTTTCTGGGGGCCTGCGCCTCCGGATGTCCCTCCCCTGGATTCTACACCTGCCATGTTCTCTTATGGGAGCCCTGGGGAGGCTCCCAGGCCCAACTCCTTCAGGTTGGAAACACTGTCAACTTGCATCATTCCCAAGAAAGCACCTTTCAGCCCCGGCTGCTCCTTCAAATCACGTGGAGAACATTAAAAACATCCAGGCCCATGACCCACCCTAACCAAGTATATCAGAAGCCAGAGGAAATAATGAGCCCACGAGTGGAAAAGAGCAAGAAACAGCAACCAACCTGCATCCAGGCAGAAGCACATGGGGGCTGAGGGTGGGTGCTGGAGTCACAGCATCCGAGTTAGAATCCTGCCTCTGATGCTGATTAGCTGTGTGGCCTTGGATGAGGTACTCAACCTCTCTGAGCTTCAGTTTTCCTGATCTGTGAAATGGGTCTGAGACTAGCAATTACAATCCAAGGCTGGGGTAGATAAGAGCGCCCAGCAACATGGTAAGTGCTCAGTATTAATATTATTGTTTTGTGCACTGTTCTAAAGGGTGGGGACAGGGAACTCCCTATCAGTGATGCTGGGCCCATTTTTACAAGTTAAGCTGGGGGCAGGCATCTGTCCTATCGCCCTCTGTTCCTGGCAGCCCCGCAGAGGCCTGGTGTGGGGGGTGGGGAAAGGGAAGGTCAGATTCTGCTCCTTAGGCCAGCTCCCACTCCCTGTGAAGACGCTGGGAAGGCACCAGCTGCCCCCTAGTGGCCAAGGGCAGGAGCACACCGAGCCATTTTAACCAAATCCTGAAACCCCTGCGCTAGACCCCCACCTTCCTGCTGTGAATCCATCTCTCAGGCCTCCGGCTCCTGAAGCTTTGTTCGCAACGTGCTAGCTACACGGGGTTTTGATGGATTCTGCCATTTTAGAAAGAGCTTTGACTGGAAATATAAAGTTCAAACCTGGCTAAGTAGGTGCCAGGCACTGAGCTACAAGCCCGCAAGTCTGTTTTCCCTACCTAGACAGCTAATTTCACAAAGAAAGGGATATTCCAAGATCCACAGCAGCTTCTTGTTTTCAACACTTAGAAAAGTCTGTGGATTAGCGGGTGCTCGATTCAAGGAGCCAGAAAGCTGAAACCCCCTTTCTGGAAAACCAGACTAGAGCCGTGCTGGTGGAAGGGGAGCCGTGTCCCGCACCCATCCGTCTGAGCAGGGCCGTCTGGGAGAACCCCATCCCTTCCCTACGACACCAACCACGTGACCCGGAGCCCTTCTTCCTTCAACTCCTGAAGACTCCACTGAGAGAGTGGCTGGAGAGGGGACAGGGACAGGGACAGGGGAGGCAGGTGTGCATAGCCTGGAGACTACCAGACCCTCGTCCTCTCTTCAGACACAGGTGAAGCACTGTTTACTCAAGATCTTTTTATTCCCCCCTTGCCACCTTCTCTGCAAACCCCTTGGGTACAGACTGGAAGAAACTATACATCAACCCTGCCTTGGGTCAACCCTTGGGCCACAGGACCGAAGATACAGCCCACAGTCTAGCCGGACAGAAGAAGTGACAATTTTAAGACTGAAGGTGTGGCCCTGGCCAGTTTGGCTCAGCGGTTAGAGCGTCGGCCTGCGGTCCGGAGAGACCTGGGTTCGGTTCCCGCTAAGGGCACGTAATTCGGTTGCAGTTTGTCCCCGGCCCTGGTTGGTCGTGTGTGGCCCTGGCCAGTTTGGCTCAGCGGTTAGAGCGTCGGCCTGCGGTCCGGAGAGACCTGGGTTCGGTTCCCGCTAAGGGCACGTAATTCGGTTGCAGTTTGTCCCCGGCCCTGGTTGGTCGTGCGGGTGGCAGCCACTTGATGTGTTCCTGTCGATGTTTCTCTCTCTCTCTCTCCCTTCCTCTCTCTCCCTCCCACTCTATCTGTACAAAAAATGGAGAAATATCCTCGGGTGAGGATAAAAAAATAAAAAAATAAAAAAAAAGACTGAAGGTGTGAAGGGAGGGGCCAGGGAAGGCTTCCTGGAGGCGGTGGGTGGGGCCTGGCCCTGACAGGCAGGCGGAAGTGAGAGGTGGAGGGCAAGGCACACTGCTCCAGGAAGCAGACCCCTGCATCTGAGGGAGTCTCGGGGAGGACAAGAGAGAGCACCTCCCGTCTCAGGTCTGCAGCCTCAGAGGACCGTGCACAGCCCCTGCCTAGTCGGCTCCGGAACGCAGGACGCAGGACGCAGACCACGTCTTCCGGGCAGCCCAGCCCTTTGCAGGTTCCAGGTCCCACTGCAGTGGCTCAGTCCGCGGAGGGGACGTCACAGGGGGCTGAGGGCCTCTCTGTCAGCGTCGGAGGCTGAGCAGAGGCCAACTCCAGCCCACAGCAGAGTCCCGGAAGGGCCTTCTTGGCAGGGCTGCGCAGCATGGGCCCATCTCAGAGGCCCTCCAGGGCTTGACGGGTGGGCGCGTCCAGGGAGGCAGCTGAGTGGATGGAGATGCCGGGGGCACCAATGCTGGTTTCCCAACAGTCAAACCCACAGCTGATCAGCGCCTGCTTCGTGGCCTCCACCTCTGGCCCCTCCAGATCTGGGGGGGAGGGAAAGCAACAGGTCACCTCTGACAACCACCTGCCCCCTTGGACAATATCTGCCCCCTTCAAGAAAGAGGTGGGCTTTCGAGTCAGAGACCTGGCCTTGTCATGTATCAGATGTGGAGCCTCAGACGAGTGACTTCTCTCTGAGCTATTTCTCCTCCTCTGGTAAGAGGGCTAATAAATACCTACTCAAGAGTCACTGTGGGCTTACTATAAAGCTAAGGGGACAGGCAGGGCCAAAAAGAAAGGAGACACAGAGGGGAGATGGAGAGAAAGGAGACCAAAGGAGCTGGCAAAGAGCAGATGGAAATGCAGGCGGGTGGGAGCATGAGCTGCAGGTCCTGAGGGCAGTGTGGTGTGTTGGTGACTAACCTCCACCAAGAGCCCCTTGCCGGCCCTGGTCACCAGCACAAGGGCTTCTGTAAGCCCCTTACTCTGCCTTGCTCTTTCCCCAAAGACAAAGGGGAAAGGAACCCCTTTGTCTGTAGCAAGGCCAGTTGCCATACCAGCCACATGAAGAGGTGACAGTGGTGAGTGGTGACAACATCCCGGTTATTTCTCAAGCTTGTGCGAGGCTTGACAGGTAAGATGGAAGAAACAGCATTTGCAATGTGAGCCCAGCCCTATGCCAGGCTTTCTAAATGCATTTTTTTCTCATGGAATCTTATAAACTAGAGATTAGCATACTTAGTTGACCAATGTGACAACAGAGGCCCAGAGAGGTTAATTAACTTGCCCAAGGCCACACAGCAGAGCTGAGACTTGTTTACAGGCCTCTTCCTCCCCCCAAGGGGAACGCCCCGGTCGAACCTTTGTATGAACCCTGCCCGCCAGCCCCTTGGGTACCTGGCCTGAGGAGTGTGATGCCACAGCCACCGCCACCAGCGCCAGTGAGTTTACTGTGCAGTCCACGGGCCATGGTCACCTGGCAGAGCTGGTCCAGTGAGGAGTGGCCCACACCGAGGGCATTCAGATGGTGCTGGTTCATATCGATGAGCTCCTGGAGAAGAAGATTCGGTCTGTTCCCATTTGGCCTGAGGGTGGGGTCTGTGCCCACCCTGTCCATCTGATAGGACACTGGTTTGGGACAGCAAATAGCTTTGACTACCCAGCACACAGTCCCTCTGCTAGTAAAAAGAGTCTCTCCTTCCTGCAGGACTTTCAGTGGGGCTGGGATGGAGCTGGTAATGAACACATGTCCCAGGCCTGGCCACAGACGCCTCTGGCCATGGTGATTGGTCAGGGAGAGGCATGTGGGCCAATCAGCGCCCTCCCAAGGTTTTCTCTGCCTCTTTCCACTGGAACAGCTTAAACTGGTTGACTTCAGAGGTAGGCCACCAGAGTTACCTACCCTGCACATGGTCAGAAATTACAAGGAAGACAGAGATTTCCGACTTGGTTGTTTAGGCCCCTGGATCCAGCTATGCCTGAAGGTGCTCCCTCTGGTGTTCTCAGTTATAAGCCAAAAGATTCCTTTTCTGCTAAAGCCTAGTCGAGATGGACTTTTGTCATTTATAGAAGTCTCAAGTAACAATCCATCCGATAGCTGCCTCAGGTACCGATATTCAGAATAAAACCTGGTTTGCAGTTCCAGCAAGATCACACATGGGGCGGGGGGGAAAAAGTTCAGATTTCTTTGACTCTGCATACTAAAATCCCTTCTCTTCTGAGGATCAAATGAGATGCAGGTTGAAGAAATAACAAAACTAACAGCTACCACTGCCCAGGCATCCTGCATTGACATTTCATTTACTCCACGAGGGTCTGACAAATACACAGTGTGCTGGGCACCGTGCTGGATGCTGGGGCTCTAGGGATGAGCACCCAGCTCTGGGAAGTTAGAATGTGGGAGCTGGAGTCAGGCGGGCCGGGGTTTCAGTGCCAGCTCTGCCCCTTCACGATCACGTGGCCTTGGGCGTGGTCTTTCACTCCGAGCCTCAGTCTGCCTTCTAACACAGGGGTGGGGAGAGGACCTGTCCCATCACCGTGAGGATAAAATGAGGTGAGTCTTCCCCATGACACCTGGTACGAGGTCAGTGCTCATCAGCAGCCATTAGTACTTTTATTGTTTCAGTACCATCATCCCCACTTTACAGAGGAGCAAACTGAGGCTCAGAGAGCAACGTGACTTGCCTAAGGTCACGGAGCTAGTAAGGCACCGAGCTGGCACCAGAAGCCAGATCTGCCCGACACGAAGCTCATGCCTACCCTGCCTTGGAAAGCGCCCTCATGTTCCTGCTGGCGCCCACTCGCAGCGCGTGGCTTGGGCTCCCGGCTCTGCTCCAGGGTGCCAGGAACACCCATGTGCCATTTAACCTGCCGAACACCAGCGTCTGTGGAGACCCACCTGCTTCTCCTGCCCGGGCCTGTCCGGCGGGGTGGGGTCAGCCCTCCCCCGCAGCCCGCCTCGCATGCCCCAGCACTTCTGACAAAGCAGCAGACAGGTGTGATGGCCCCGTGACAGCCCTGGGTGCCTTTCCCTGGGCCCGAGAGCAGGATGTGAGGGGAACCTTCCAGGGGCCCCTCTCTGCGCCTGAGCACCAGGCGTCACGTTGCCGAGGCAGGTTCCAGACACCTGTCACATTCTGATCCAAAATCTGTCAAGGACGGGATGACAGGCTGTGACACAGGAGAACAGCTCGCTGGTTTGAGCGCAAAGCTGTCCGGGAGTCGAGCTACACGTTTCAGCGGCTGCCACAGCCAAAAATATACACAATGTATAATCAACGTGCTGTTCTGGGGCATTCTCCAGGGGCTCAACGGGTGTATTTTAGGCAGTACTCTATCATTATTAATTTCCTACTCAGGAGGACTGTGTTCCCTCCTTACCACGTGAAAGGCGTTGAGAGCCAGCCAGGCCAAGGCTGGGGGAACGAGGGCAGAGCACAGTAATTAGGTCGTGTCCTTGTGCTCATTAAAGATTTGTTGACTGAAGAAGTCAGTCAGTCAGTCTGACCCCTGGCTCAGCCACTGACTAGCTGGAACACCTTGGAGAAAGTTGCTCCCTTCAGGCCTCGGTTTTTATACCTTTAAAATGGGGACAATATTCTTCCTAGGTAGGTTGTTGTAGGAATCAAATGAGAAGTCATTTCTGAAAAGTCGAATAGAGTAGCAGGTTCCAGTCATTCCAGGGGCTTCCGACTCAAATGCTTACAGGACAGAGAGGCACCAGGCAAAGACTGGGCAATACTTAGGGAGCAGTGGGGACTGTGGAGAAGTGGGCACCACAGGGGGTCCCATCTGCACCTCCAGCTGATTGCTGCTGCACAGCCACGACGGCTGGGGCTGCCTGACGCTGTGATTCTTCCAGGGAAGCCAGATGGCCTTTAATGCCAGCCCGCAGACCCCAGGCCAGATGGACCACGTCTGAGGATGAGCCCAGGCCCTTGGCTTACTGAGCTCGTGGCTCATCCGGCATTGTCCTTGTGCATCACCCATGAGACCTCACTGCATTCTTAAGACACGGCAGGGGGTGGGGCCAGGATTCAGACCCGAGCCTGATTAAATCCCAAGCACGAGGTCTCAACCTCTGTACTAGAATTACGCAAAGGGTTATGGGCTGGGGTAACAGATGAAAGAACAATGTTAGACTAAGTCTGATCCAAAGCATACAGGTGATAGTTACTGAATGAATGAATGCAGTTGGCAAAAATAGCAGGAAAGAGGTAGCCAGGTAAGAAGTCTCTCCTGGACCCATGGGAGATAGTGAGAAGTAGCCCGGTGCACCTTCCGTAATCCTAGCCCGTCACGTCTGGCCCGTAGCAGCCACTGCCCTCAGCCTAGTCTCATAGGCCAACCCCCTGGGAAGAGGCTTCAAAGGCACACGTGCTCCCATGTGCGCACACAGGACCCTGGTCTAGGCCTGCCCCGGGGGTTCTGAGCGCACTCAGACTGGGGAGCCCCTGCCTTAGACAGGGTGTGGGTGAGCGACCCGGATCCTGCAGACAGGTGCTTACTTCCAGCACGAGGTAGTGCTCTGGGGCCGGGGTCGCTGCCACCATCTCTCTCAGCACTCGCTCGCACTCCAGGGAAATGGCGTCTATGGAGGTCAGGAGGGGGGCCACGATCTCTGGGAACTGGAGGGAAAGGAAGGAAGGAAGGGCATGTGAGCCTGGGGGCAAGTTGGCACTGGACAGCTGCTCCGGTAAGGGTGAGGGAGAGGTGTCCCCATTGCCTACCCCTACCCTCCGAGGAACCCTCCTCTCCTTACAGCCTGGTCTCTGCCTTGCCTAGATGCCCCGTATCTGGGGGGGATCCGCACTGCCAGCCAGCACAGTGGGCGACCCCTGTCCCACCTCCCAGCTGGAGTGTGAACAGACAGCACCTCCTTTCCTGCCAAAACTGCCTCCCCAAGACCCCAACTCCATCCCACCCTTCTATTAACCCATGAGGCAGAGGCACAACTCTTGACACATGACTGTGACTGTTGTGACCTTGCCCGACACCTGCCCAGGGGTGGACAAGAAGCACCTTGAGCAGTCTGTTCCTGACGCCCAGCACAAGAGCCTTGGTGCTACGAGGGACTTTGGTGTTGGTCAGTAGGATCTTCAGAACCGGTGGCCTGCAGGGTACAGAGGGTCCACAGTGAGCTCAGGACGGAGGTGCAGGGTCAGGACTGGGGGCAATACTGGACTCCATCCTCCTCCCCACACACAGGGAGGCAACAGCAGGCTGGACACGGGTCAGAGGAAGCACAGGCTCCTGACGTCCAGCCCTGTGCGCTTGGAACCAACCACAGCTGCATCTTCGCTTCAGCCCCCGGACAGACGGACACTTCCCTTGGCTCATCACTCATCCATTCATTCGACTTCCACTCCAGGGAGCTGGAGTGAAGGGTGCTGGACATTTAAGAAGAAAAAGCAGCAGGTCCCAGGATGGACCGCACAGGAGGCGTGCAGGGAGGGAAGACGCCCATTGGCCGGGTTGGTCAGTACGGGAGTTTGAGAGAGGCCGGCCTGCAGAGTCGGTTCCCAGCATGCTGAGCCCACTCTTGCCCTGCTCCGAAACCAGATGCTCCCCCCTGGCTGCCCCGGGTGAGGGCGGTCCCAGTAAGCTGGCTCTCCGGCGTGACACTGTGTCTTCAGCTGCCCTGAGCTTTATAATCCCTCCTAAAGCCACAATCCCAATTGTCCTTGTGCTCAGCTGTCTTTGAGGACTCAAGCGCTCATTTCTTACCCTCCCAACCTGCCTTTCAGAGCACCGCTGGCCGGGGACAGAGGCTGGAGAATGTGGATGCGCCTGGCCCGAGACAGCTGGAGACAGGCAGATCCCTTGATACCTTTATTCCCTTTTCTTTTCACAGCTCAAGATTGTAAAATACAATAGGGCTGGAAAAGGCTGCCAGAAACCTGCTTGATCTCACCGCCCATAAGCCCATGAAATTAATATCGATTCTCAGCCTTGGAGGCCGGCGCTTTTTTTTTCTTTCTTTCTTTTTTTTAACTTTACAAAAGATGAACATTCTATTTGGCTTTTCTCTTCCCTTTAAAGACAAGCCGTTCCTCAAAAGGGCAGCGTTCTGGGAGGCCGCCTCTTGATCCACTTCACAAACAATGCATTTTTTTACGGAGAAGCACCATGCGTGGCTGGAGGCAAAGGGGCTCCTCTTTAAGCCATCGGTGGGATTAATGTGGTCTGGCCTCTCTGCTTCTCAGAGAATCTGCCATCTGCTCACCACAGCGCCCCGCAGCCAGCAGTGAAGGTCGAAGGTCAGGAGGGGTTTGGGTACTGCCTCTTCATCTTTCTTTGTAAGTCCTCCACGCATGGGCCTTCTACCAGCCCCACGAAACTCAGGGCTCCTGGGAAACCGCGTGACGGCCACTGGGGGCTTTGCCCTGGAAGTGCTTGTGGGCACTTGGCCTGGCCACCTCTCCCGCTTCGCTTCATCTCTCCTCTGCTCTCCCTGGCTGCTCACTCCACTCAGCCTCCCTGGCCTCCTGCCTGCTCCTCAACACCCAGGCACACTCCGTCCTGCCTCAGAGCCTTTGCACTCGCGTTTCCTCTGCCAGGGGTCCGCCTCCATCCTCCATAGCTCCGTGACTCACTCTTGTATTTCATTCCGGCATCTACTGGGATACTGATCATCCACTGATCCTCTCATCCAACCAGCTCCCTCCTTCACCTTGAGCCCCTCGTCCTGCTTTCTGTTTCCGGAAGGTGCCCAGGGCTGCCCGACATGCTCTTAAAGAGGAATGCTTTGGCTGGTTGTCTCCCCTCACCAAATGTTGTAAAGGACAGAGTTCCACGAAGGCAGGACCTCTCGTTCCCTGCTAAGGCCCCAGCACCCCATAGTTGCTCAATTATCATTTGTGGAATGATTGGATAAATTTGGTCAGCAAAGAGCTGAGAACTTCACAGATACTGTTTTCTGATTTCATGCCCAGAATCCACTGTATGTATGAGGAGATGAAGGCCTCAGAAGATATGACTCAGCCAAGGGCACCTTGCTAGCAAGTGGCAGAGCTGGGCTCACACCCAGGCCTGTGGACCGAAGGGCCTCTATCCACCACACCACCACCGACGGGCCCCTGAGCACGCCTTGGGCCTCTCCTGCCTTAGAAACACTCCATCCCTCACCTCCTGATTCCCCCCGGTAGACTGTGCACCTGCACAGGCCCAGTCTTAATTGGTTTTCTGTCCCTGGGGCCTAGTTCAGTACTTAGGATCTCACTGGCTCCCAGGAAAACACTGAGCGTATGAAATGCCACTGCCTTCATGAAGGGACCCTGCATCTGCAGCCTGACTTCTGACGCTCCTCACTGTCATCCGCAGCAGAGCGAGAACCCTTTGGGTGCCTTTGTTCTAAAGATTACAGTCCTGATTGCCTCCTCTGACAGACTGTGAGCCCTGAGGGTGGGCCTGGGCCCAGACATCTCGGAATCCTCTCTGGCTCCTGCTCTCACTGCACACCGATTCAGTACTGCACACAGATTCAGTATACCCAGCAGCCCCTTCCCCTCCCCCACCCGGGCCCTGAGGCTCCATTGCTAAGATTCCACAAGCAGCCAGAGAGCTGTTCCCCGCTCCCAAATGGCCCTGCTTCCTCCTCTGTGTACAGCAGAGATGTTTACCCAGGGGGGTTTGCCCTCCAGGGGACATGTGGCAATGCCAGGAAATATTTTGGGACTGGGAGATGGGGGAGGTGCTGCTGGCATCTAGCGGGTCGAGCCCAGGGACACTGCTCAGCACCCTACACTGCGCAGGAAAGCTCCACTAGAACTATCCCGCCCAGATGTCAACAGTGCGAGGTTAAGAATCCCTGATGCGGAGCCTCAGAAAGGGGGGCCTGGCTCCCGGAAGTTGACACAGCTGGGACAGGCAGATCCCAGAGGCGCAGGAGAGCAGCCCCATGTCACCCCAGGTCACTGAGCCACTAATGGAAAGGCCCAGCTGGCGATGGCAGGGGTCCGGGACCTGCTGCCCATCCACAGAGAAGACAGCCCTGGGACCCTCACAGCTGGGAAAAGGCCCAGTGAAGCAGCCAAGTGTCCTGGGACAATCACCGCCACCTGACTTGATAGAAGTCGGCTCAGGGAACAGCCGAAGGGCACCAGCTCCTGCCTGCCCCATGCTGCATGCCCTGCTTCTGACATCTGCCCGGAGTGCACACAGAACAGAGGGAGTCGAAATGCAACGTGCATGTTTGCGATTCCAGTGACTCCAGAGGGACGGTATAAGGAAACATACAAAACAAGCTGCAAGTTGCCCAACGTCACCTCTGTTCTAAGCCTCTCACAAGCTGGCCTCTTGCTCCTGTCCTGGCTCTGCCTTGCCGGCCTTCCACGTTGACTTGTGGTGGCTTTTGTGTACATGTCTGTCCCTGTCCGCCCGAAACGGTGTCCCAGATTCATCTTCATTTCCCTAGTTCCCAGTACAGTGTCATCAGGAACACAGACGGTATCAATTCTTGTTTGCTGAGCGAATGAATAACTAAATGAGCAGCACATCCTGGAAGTGATGGCACAGCCATGCGTGACTTTCCCTCTAATCTCCAGGCAGGTGAAGAGCTGCCGCGGGGAAGGAAAGGGCGGGGCGTTCTCATGGTGATGGCCGGTGAGGGCCACCCGAGGGAGGGGAGAGCCAGGGCCACCCGCCCCCGTGCTACATGACAAAGACACAGAGCTCCTCCGCTGCATGGACCGGGATTACCTCTTTAAGGATGAAATCTTTCCTTGTTGGTATCTGAGAGCTCCTCCTAGAGAAAAACCAGAGGGTCAGAAAAGCGCATCTTTGCCTCTTGGGAGATAAGTTGGATTTGGGGGTAGGTTTGTTTTGCCCCATCCAGGGAACAGATTCAATACTACAACCATCATTTCGGCTTCGGCTAAAAGGCTCAGGAGGCAGGAAGGTGCACCATGCTCCCTCTGCCAGGCAGCTCTTGCCAGGCCCTGGGCTCCAGGGTCACTCCCTTCCCTCCAGGCTGCCCAGCTCCACTCTGACAGCTCTCGTGGTGAGACGTGCTGAAGGTGGGACCCAGGACTGTGTCTAGGTCCCACAGGCGTCCTCCCCAGAGGGCAACTCAGCTCATGTGGTCTGCAAACCCCATAGCTATGGTTCTGTGGCAGTGACTTCGCACTCCCCTGGGGACATCAGTGGAACCGCAGCGGCCCAGGCCCAGGCCCAGCCCTAGAGATCTGCATTCAGGAGGTGTGAGGCTGAGATTTCTCCCATTCCTTTCGAAACAGGAAAAGACTATTTTTTTCAGAACCCACTGATTCTGTTCATCCCAAACCAACAGACCCTGCGCATCTACGATTGTCATAAGAATCTCAAAAATGATAAAAATAAAGACAAGAAGGCCGAGGCAACACCTACCCCAGGTGCTGACAGCGTTGTCCACTCCGGAGGGGTTCCCGTGAATCACCCTCTCCCCCTGGAAGGCCCACTTGTTAATTAATTCCAAATCCTCCGATGTCCACCTAAAGAAGACCCAGAAATTCATCTTTACCGTAGTGCTGAGTGGGGGCCTGGGGTCTCCACGGGCAGCAGACCCAAGGGCCACGGGCTGGGCTTGGCGGAGACCAGAGGCAAAGGGCTCGGGCTCTCGACCTCAGAAAGAAGAGAACCGCTCGAACCTCTCCAGCTACAGCACACACCATACCTTCCCTTCCCTCGGGAGCCCTCTGGCCTGGCACGCTGGAGAGGGCCCAGCTCTGGGCTCACACCGTCCTACGTGCCTCCTCCTGGCTGAGTGACCGGGCCCACTACCCGACCCTCTGGGCCTCACTGCCCTCAGCTGCAGAATGGTAGCTCCGTCCTCTCCAGGGGCCAGTCCGGGCGCACTGGGTGCCTGGCAAGGCGTCCGCAAGCGGCAGCGGTGGCTATGGGAATAACAGACCCTCACAAAAGCGCCAGCTCCTGAACCCAGCCTGCCTGAAGAGCGGGCAGAAGGATGACTTTCCCAAAGCCCTGCCCACGGGCCCAAAGCGCAACTGTTACGGATTCAGATTCCAGCCGCGCCTGGTGAGCCAGGTCGCACCGGCCACCTCTGGATCTCTCCCAAGCGTGCAGCCACACCGCCTTCCTCGGAAGGTGTCAGCCCGTTGACACGTGAACTGAACAGGCCCCGCGCACGCATGGATCCAACGAGGACCAGTGATTAGCCCCACTCCCCAGCCTTCTCTCTCAGCGTGTTTCTTCCCATTGATTCCCTTCCCTGTCAAACCACAGAAGGCAACAGCGGCTTGGCAGCCTCTGAGAGTGGGGGGCGCTCCGTGGCAGAGCTATGGATGAAGCAGGGAGCCTGGTCTGAACCCCATCCTGCTGCTGACCCAGTGGGCACCCCCCAGCAAACTCCTTCCCACCGGGGCCTCAGTTTTCTTATCTGTAAAACAGGGGCAACAGTATCAACCTCACAGAAGACATTGTGAGATGGAAAGGACATGTAAATGCTTTGTAAAATGCCTGGGAGATATAGTATATGCTCAAAAACAAAGGCCACCTGGGATCACAACTCATGGATTCACTCTAAACCCAATTCAACCCTCACCTGCTGTGGAGTCTTGGGCAAGTCAATCACCTGCTCGGAGGACATTAGGGGCCTGCTACTCACGTGGTGGTTGTGGGGCTATGACTAGTAACAAGTCAGCACCGCCCAAGGCTAGTGAGGACCAAGTGTCAAATGGGCCGTCTCCTGCATCCCCACAGTAACCCTACAGGGAAGGAACAATTACTGTCCCTTCTTCCAGAAGAGGACACGAGGCCCAGATGGGGAAAACGGCATCCCCGAGATCGCAGTGCTGCTCACTGCTACGATCAGAACCACGTCTCCGGACAGGAGTCGCAGCTCTTGACTAGCCACGTTCATGGTGCAGTGAGACGTGCTCACTCGCTCGTTCAGTACTGAGCGCCTCCGGGTGCCCACAACTAAGCTCACGGCAGGAACTGAGGCAGACGCACCCCTGACTGCTTCAAGCCTGGCGTCTAATGGAGAGAGTGGGTGTCAGTAAACAATCAGTATTTAACTACAACCCCAGGAAGTGCAGTAGGCAGGAGTGGACCCCCTTCTGAAAGGGAGGGAGGGCTGCGGGCCAAGGAGGGTCAGCGAGGCAAGACGTGGGGGAGAGCATCCCAGCTTGAGGCTGCGCGGCCTGCGCGGTGCCTGGAAATGGACAAGAGCTGGCTCCTTCCAGGAACAGAGCGTGAGTGAGGGGAAAGGGGAGGAGGCAGCTGATCCTGCCCTCGGCCTGAGCCTCTCAACGGATGCCAGTCCTTCCCCCCGCTCTGTATACAGTTTTCTCTTCAGGGGGCTCAGATTCCCAACCAGGAGATCGCATTCCAGGACCTTCTACTTTGGACATGTGTGGGTGGGGCGGGGAACCGGCGGGAAGAAAGCAGCCTGAAAAAGCCCCGATACACACACAGACACAGACACACAACACACACAAGTCACACTTTGCTTTCTAAGCTACTGGCCTGTGGGTAGGTGTCTATTCAGGGGTCCCGGGCAACCAGGCCTTCACTGATCTGGGTTACAGTCAGTGATTAGCACGCAGTAATGAGCAGCCGTCTTGAAGCCTCTGATTCACCATCTTACCACAGGATCACCAAATGTCCCCCCCAGGACCCCCCCCAAGAGATCATATAGAGCTGCCCTGCACTTTTAGGTAAGGAAACAGAGCCCCGGAGCAAAAAGGGGGTTGCCCAAGGCCACAAAGTGAGTTAGCAGGCAGACCTTACTGAAATTCCTGAAAACCCTTCCTGGTACCTACAGGAGCAGGCTCTCATTTCCTGGGGATTCTCCCGACAAGGAGCCGCTGCTATCCAACCCCCCCGCCTCCTCTCCACACACAGGACCCATCAGTGTGACTCTGGGAAATGCGGACAGAGCTATGACATCAACAGCCCCCAGATCTACTGCGGCCACGAGGGCCAAAGCAATCTTTGGGCTCAGTTTGACTTCAACTATATTTTAACCTCCATGTCTCAGAAGAGGAATTACTGGCAGTGACAGAACACTAACAGGCAGCCCACAGGGTCTGGGGAAACAGAAAACCCCAGCGTCTTCAGGGCAGACCTCAATTCAGAGCCAAACTCAGGGAGGGGATGAAGGGGGCCACTGCACTTGGCACAGAGGGCATGGGGACCCTGCTCTGGGAGGACACACTCAGCTGTGTCCAGCCTGCCAGCCAGAACGGTCTGAGCGGCCTTCTCTTCTGCTGGCTACCCTGAAAGACCAACCAGGCCAGATGGACCCCACGTGGCTGGGACTGAAGGCCCTCCACTGGGAGGGCTCCCTCAAACCCCACAGGTCAGGGACAGGCCTCGACCGGAAGCTGCCAAGCTGGCTTCTGAGGTCATAGGTACAACTCCCGGGACAAGGCCCGGGGTAAACTGCACCACCTCTGTGCTGAGGTGGTTTCTCAAGGTCTATTCCCCAAGCCACAGAAACGTCCACCCGCAGCCGTCCTGATGAGCCTCACCGACGACACTCCCCCTGTGGAGACAAGCTCAAGGACCTGCAGGACGGGAGATGCCCTCATCTGACAGACACGCCTCCTGTGCTTATTTCTTGGCACATCATAATTTTTCCCATAACCATCTGATACGACCTGGCAACACCCACCTCGGTATTAGTATTACCATTTACAAAGGACACTGAGGCGTCAAGGGGTGCAGCGGCCTGGCCACGGCCCCACAGTGAGTCAGTGGCAGAGGTGGCCCAATGCCTCATCTACCCCTCTGCCTTCTACATCTGGGCTCAGGTACTTTCTGGGCACTTGAACCCAAAAGAGGCAAGGGGTAGCGCTTGGGGAGCCACAGTGGTTCAGCACAGGGGTGAATAGCTCAGGCTCTGGACTCAGGATGCCTGGGTTTACATTCCACTCTGCTATCACTAGCTGTGTGGCCTGGGCCAGCCTCTGTTTGGCCTCCCTGTCCCTTGGCTTCTTCTGTAAAGCGGCAAGTGACGCCTCTCAACTCACAGGGTGGTTGTGAGCTTTTAGCGAGAGAACCCACGCTCAGGTCACAGCCCACAGGAAGGAAGGAAGGAAGGATAACGGGCAGGGCGAGGGCCGTGAGTACCTGCTGGTGGCCTCTCCGTCCTTCAGCGGGTTTGGGATCTCCTCGCACAAGGTCAGGAGGGCGGCTGCCAGACACGTGGAGTAGGCGGCACTGGAGCCCAAGCCAGCGCTAGTGGGCAGCTCCGACCACACCGTGATGTCCAGGCTGGGCAGGGCACTGAAACACACAGCAGGGCGCACAGCGTGACTCTCTCGAAGGGTGGGCACAAGATTCCTTTAAACCGCTGCGTTGTCCAAAAGAGCTCTTAGCGCCTCACGGCCCACCAACCATTCCTCTAAACTCCTTCCTGTCCCCACACACGCGAGGCTCTTTGCTGGCCCTGCTCGTAGCACAGGCTGGTCTCCCTGCCCAGGAAAGCTTCACTCCTCTTTCTCCCCCAGGGAAATTCCTACCAACCTGCAAGACCCTTCTCAGTGTCATTCCCACTGGGAAGCTTCCCCCGGACACCCAGAGGTCATCCTCAACCTGCCTCTGCAAACTACACATGACCGCCCCACCCAGATCAGGAGACTCTGAAATACGCCCTCCCATCCCGAAGGGGACATGCCCCCTTCTAGCTGAAAATCCCAGCATCCCAGCCTTGAGACATTTGCAGATGTGTCCTCAGCACGGCGCCCGGCACCCAGGGCCCCTAAGCTGCGTCTGCTGCACGGTGAGGGGCTGCCCCCTGGGGCTTTCCCTTTGGGTTCTGGACCAAAAAAATCAGAGTGATAACTCACTGTGTGCCAGATACTACACTAGGCCCATTTCATCTACAGACGACCCCTGAACAATGAGAGGGGTGGGGACGCTGACCCCTGAGCGGCTGAAAATCCGCGTGTAAATTAAGTCTGCCTTTTGCATCCTCGGGTGTGAAACCGAGGGCCAACTGTATATTTATTGAAAAATATCCATGTATAAGTGGACCCACATATAGGTGGCCCCACACAGTTCAAATCCAGGTTGTTCAAGGGCCAACTGTACAACATTTCCAATCCTCCAATACTGTTCTGAGGAAAATAACAATGATGATTATTTTTATAGGGGCTAACATTTACCAAGTAACATGCCAGGCCCTCTGTCAAGCCCCTTAGATAAATGAATTCATTTAACCTCAAGAACCCTATGAGGTAGGTACTATTACTACACTATTGTACAGATGGAAAAACTGGCTGGGGATGGGTAAGAACCTCAAGCAAGCCCTGGCCGGCTTGGCTCAGCGGTTAGAGCGTCGGCCTGAGGTCCAGAGAGACCCGGGTTCGGTTCCCGCTAAGGGCATGTACTTCGGTTGCCGTTTGTCCCCGGCCCTGGTTGGGTTGTGTGGGTGGCAGGCACTCGAAGTGTCCCTTTCACATCGATGTTTCTTTCTCTCTTCCTCTCTCTCCCCCTCCCGCTCTATCTGAATAAAAATGGAAAAATGTCCTCAGGTGAGGATAAAAAAAAAGAACCTCAAGCAAGCCACTGAGTGCCATGCTGGGATTTGAACCAATGCAGTCTGACTCTCAATCCATGCTTCTCTATCACCACGTGACACCCCCTCAACAGGACTGTCACCCTCTAGGAGCTGGCTTCCCCAAGGGCAGGTAACCCATTTCTGGTCATAAGGTACGAAGCGGATACAGACTTCCCTCTGCTCATCACCGCGTTTCCCCGGAGCCTGTAGGCTGTGGAACAAGGGTGGCTCTATTGACACGGTGTGGGAGAAGCCACACAGTGTCGAGGACGGAGTCTGGCTTGGGGTCCGCTGAATGGAGGAGGGCAGAGGAGGCAGTATGGGGTTGAGAAGGTGAGCGTTAGGATGAACTGAGTTGATGCCCAGCTCTACCATTTACTAACTAGCTGCATGGACTTAAGTGACCTTATCTCTCTGAGTCTGTTTCTCCCCGTACAAAATGAAGACAGTGCCTCCCTCGTAGGGTTGTGGTGGAAAGCGGACCATACATAAGTGTCCAGCATGGTGGCTGGCACGTGGCGAGGCAGCTGATGGCTGGTGTAAGCGTGTGCCTTCTCCAGCAGCCCAAACTAGAGAAACCCTCACCCATTTTCCGGGAGGAGCTGAACCAGAGCGCCTTCCCCAGGCCAGGCACACACCTCTGCTTCCGGCAGATGGACAGGTACAGGTAAAGGAAGGCCAGCACAGCCAGGTGCTCGTGGTTGCCACAGTCCTCAGGGAAGCCCGCCACCTCCTTCAGCTTCTCCACTTTCTCTGGTGTGATGTCGCCTTGCTCTGCCACACAAGCAAACAAGTACACACAGATGAGTGAGAGAGACAACAGAACACGAAGAACTGCATGGTCATGGCAACTGGAAACGGGGCAGACGCGGATGCTCGATCCGAGCACCGCAGCCGAGTCCGTCAGTGGACTTCAGGCTTTGGCGGCAGGCACACTGGGTTTGGGTCCTGACTGTGAAGCTGACTGGCTTTCTGGCCTTGAGCCTGGGACTTAACCTCAGTTTCCCCCCTTGGTAAACAGGAATAACAACAGTACCTTCTCACAAGATTGTCATGAAATAAAGTAAAATAAAGCACATAAAATCCTTAACACAGCTTCTGGCACACAGTAAGTGCTTAATTAGTGGTTTTAAAACACTCCCTACACACACACACACACACACACACACACACACACACACACAGAGTGAATGCTAGGTTAAGCATTCAAAGGCCTGGGTTTGACCTTCATTGTACAAAACCAGTACCAAAGGCAATAAATACTACATTCCTCCTAAAAAACTTCTCTCTCCCAAAATATAATTGGCGAGAACAGGACACTGAAATAAAACCAGTGAACAAGAAATACAGAGATTTGCTGGGGCAGGAGAGAAAGGCCAGGCGGCCCTGGCCGGTTTGGCTCAGCGGTTAAAGCGTAGGCCTGTGGTCCAGAGAGACCCGGGTTTGGTTCCTGCTAAGGGCATGTACCTTGGTTGCAGTTTGTCCCCAGCCCTGGTTGGGTCGTACAGGTGGCAACCACTCGATGTGTCCCTTTCACATCGATGTCTCTCTCTCTCCCTTCCACTCTATCTGAACAAAAAATGGAAAAATGTCCTCGGGTGAGGATTTAAAAAAAAAAAAAAAAAAAAGAAAGGCCAGACGGCAGTTTCTCCTCAAGTGTGCGTGAGAAGCTGGGGCCTTCATCTGTGAGGCGGAAGAGGCAGAACAAGTCTGACGAGCTTACCTTTACAAATCATGAGTCTGGACATGAAACTGAGCTGGGTGTGCCTGTGTCAGGATACCTCAGGATGGGGCACATATTCAGTGCTATATGTTGACTGAATTAATGATATACTAAAGGCAGCCAAGCCAAGGAGAGGGTTACTGAGAGCCCAGACATCTCAGAATTCTGATGGAGGCGGAATAGTTCATTAAGAGCCCAGGCCTTGATTTTAGAAAGAGCTGCGTCTGGCCCAACCAGTGTGGCTCAGTGGATTGAGCATTGCCCCGTGGACTGAGAGGTCCCTCTTCGATTCCCCATCAGGGCACACGCCCCACGCCCAGGTTGTGGGCTCGATCCCTAGTGGGGGGCATGCAGGCAGCAGCTGAGTGATGTATCTCTCTCACGTCAATATTTCTATTTCTCTCCCTTCCTCTCTCTCTAACAAAAAAGGAATCAATAAAAAAAAGAAATATATCTATATCTATCTATCTCTATATATATATATAAAAAAAAGATCTGGGTCCGAATCCTTTCTATATCACCGATAAGCTGCATGACCTGAGCCACTTGGCCCCTGAACCTCAATGTTCTCATCCATAAAGTGGGGGTGAATAATACCACCTACTTCCAGAGAAGGCTAGAATTCTAGGAGCACGAGTATACATAGTTCTGTGCCCGGCACACATAAAGACCCAATAAATAGTCACTGTGTTTATTATTGGTACAAAGAACACTGAAAGAAAAAAAAAAAGGCTGATCTTTGCAATCAAATAGAATCTTAGTGTCCAAAAGGCTCAGATTCTCTTTGTTTCCTTGGAGAATAACTAACAAGCCCTCATGTATGTACTGCACTCTGCATCACAGACCTAGGCCCCCCGGATCCTGCTATCCTCACAGCAGCCCTCCCAGGCAACAGAGTTCCGGTTCAACGCATTGAGTGACCTGCCCAGGCTCACTCAGGGAGCCAGAAGTGGTCTCAGACATGTCCCATCACACCTGGCTGCTTCTCTCCGTGCTGCTGACATACAGAAGCAGCAGCCAGGTCTCGGGACATTTCCAACCTGGCTGGACGGTCCGGTGCACCATGAAAAGCAAGGTCCAGGTTGCTCTGGATGGCTGGTTTCTGAGGCGTGCTCCAAAGCAGTGGCTCTTGACTGAGGTTTCCCTGAGGTCACCTTTCAAAATACACATGCTCAGTCCCCTACCACCACTACCTGCCACTACTGATTCTCAACAGGAGGGGGGAGGGCCAGGAATCCATCTGTATTCTTGCAAACAAGAATAACAATAACGAAAAAAAACCTCCCTAGAGGATCTGAAGATAGAACTAAGGTTGAAATTAATTGCTCGAAAATGGGGGTTTTCAACTCTTACTCCCTCTCCCTCCAGTCTTTGAGAGTGGCTGAGTGGCTTGCTATGGACTGATTGGGATAACGCCCTGGAGGGTTCTCACTTGCCCCACTCTGGCTGTTCTAAACAACAAGACATCAGTCCAGAGAGGATACAGCCAACGGAGGACAGCAGGCATGCTCTTGCTCTGATGCACGTGGGGACTCTGCAGACGAAGAAACCTTGCCTGCATACGAGTGGACACGACATTCCCCCAGCTCTCAAAAACCAGCACGGAGGCCTTTATTTACTGGAAGACAGTAAATGTCCGGAAGAAAGACCCACATGCTTCTGAGGAGTGTATATGGCCTGGTCCAATTTTAGTTACAAAACAAGCTATCTGCCTATCTCATCAATCTACCTACCTACAGAAAATAACCCAGTTGGATTAACACCAAAATGCTTAAGAGTTGTCATCAGGGGTGGTGATAATAGGTGACCTTTTTTTTCTTTTACTCACAATGTTCCAGTATTGACTGTATTTTCCAATAATAAGCATAAGTTACTTTAATTTTAAGTGATTTCTGTTTGTTGGTCTGTTTCAGTGATTTTTAATTATCCATAATACCAACACATTCGCCTTGTTAAAACACCATTTGTCTACTCCTGGATCTAAGGAATCTCCCAGAGGTAACTACTCACCACTGTCAACTGGATGGCTATCTTCCCAGCCCTTTCCTATACATTTACATACACACTGATACTTAATCGGTGTCACTCCTCATCACACTGTACCTGCTGTCGTGTAACTTGTGTTTCTGCAGTCGACAGTAGGTCCTGATGATCTCTCTACAACAGCCCACACAGATCTAGCTAGTGCATCATTTTCTGCTTTTGAATTAAAAAAAAACTCTTAAGTGAGGCTAACTTTATGGAGTCCGGAGAGAAAACACCTCCAGAGTGGCTGGCTTCTGGCTCTCTCAGAACAGCTTAGAATAACTGCCCAGCCTCGACTTACACCCTCCCTTCAAGGCCCAGGTTCTACCCACATCTGGTTCTTCCTCCCTGCACTTACCCAGAAAGTTCGTGTCCAGCAGCTGAAGCCTGGCCACATCCCAGGCCCTTTTGATGCCAATGTTTGGTAAGTTGAGGCCCACTTTCCCACTGCTGTGGGGTTGAAGCCGGAGATATGTTCTCAAGTTCAAGGCCACAGCCAGTGCTACCTATAGAACAAAGGGCAAAACCAATTAGCCTGAGGGTGGGTGACAACAAGCATGGCTGCTATCTTGGGAAAATAGGGACAATGTCAAAAACACGCTAAGAGGAGAGAGCAAATACGAGTACACAGGTCACTTCTACCCACACCCTTGGCACACCCTCCCACTAAGCCTGGGCACAACCACTACCACTACCACTACCAATCAATTAGGAGTTCATGTCTACTTATATTTGCCTTTCTCACGCAAAACTCCAGAGGTTTGCAACACCAAAGAATGGCTTCCCCACAACCACCATGTTTTCAAGGGTAAGTTAAGAACATAAAGAATGACAGACAGTGGAAAACCATAAGCTTTGGCTTCAGACACACTTAGATTCCCTTCCAGTTCTACCAAGGCATAGGGGACCTTGGTCAAGTTACCAATCCTCTCCTGAGCCTCAGCTTCCACACTGGTAAAACAGGATAATAAAAGTTTAATCCTAGGGGATAGTTGTAAGAGTTAAATGAGATGATGCATGTTTCAGACTCCTTTGCTGGATCCTACTCATCCTCCCGACTTCTAAATGGTGACGTGCCCCAGAATTCAATCCTCAAACCTCTTTTCTTCTCCGCCGAAGCTCACTGCTTAAGTGATGTTATTCCACTCACAGAGTTACACGTATCATCTTTTTGTTATCTCACTGAGTGGGCCAGAGAAGCCCTTCGGTGGGCATAAGACCCGTCTTTCCCTTGCTTGGCTGGGGAGAAACTGACCTCCTCTCTGATCTACTATGAGGCTATGCCTCAAGGCTTCCTTTTAGTTTTTTTAAGATTAGTGTCAGAGAGAAATGGTGCCCAATCCTCGAAGGCTCTGGGGGCCGTTTACCTTGCCATGGACCACGGCATGCTCTCCATGAAGGATGACTTTCCCGGGAGCGGACACCAACAGGACTTCTGACAGCATGGCTCCTGGGAATCCTGAAATGGAAAGCCGGGGGATGGACCGCCCCCAGATGTTAGAGAACTTATAAAATGCCTCGTCCAAGCTCATTATTAGAATTAAAGAAAAATAAGTTTAAAAAGGCAGCTGCAGTGTAGCAGTTAACTCGTTAACTAAACACATCAGAAAGCTCAGGGTTCAAACCCCAGATCTTCTACTCCCTGCTGGTCATCTTACCTAACTCACTCAATGGCTTTGAACCTCAGTTTCCTCGCATGTTAAACGGGGGCAATAACTGTACTAACCTCAGGAGGTTTGGGGAAGGTTCAATTAAATGATGCAAAGAAACACTCAGCAGTGTCTGGCAATTTGTAATGACTGGATTCCCGGTTGCTGCTTATTACTGGCTCCGCTCTTGGTTCCAGGTTTTATTAGTACTACTATTAAAGGCAAAGACTGAAGTGAAATCATGGACCAGAAAGAACTCTTTCCTGGGTATTGAGGCTACTTCCAATGTATCACAACTATAAATAGGCTGCAGAAAACGGCTATTACGCCCCTTTTTGCACACTGAAGTCAGGATCTCTGCAAGAGTCAGTCCTAGAAAGTCACTTCTGGGTCTCCGGGTGTGCGCATGTCAGATTTTTGTAAATAATGCATAATCACCCTCCATTCTAGGCTTTATCTGCCTTAATTACCTCGCTATAATAAGACCCGAACCTCGCCATGCGCTACGTACGACCGCGGACCCGTTTCTTAGCAGGGGAAACCGAGGCTCAAAACCACATCTGTCAGAGTCGAGGTCCCGGCCCCTCGGGACGGATGCTCAGAGTTGGGGAAACAGCCAGAGAAGCCGGGAGCCCGGCCTAGGGTCGGCCTGGGTCTCGGCTAGGACCTCGTGCATCCCGGTCCCACAACCCCGGCCTCTGACCTGCCGCCGCCGCCGCCGCAGCCACTCAGCTCCTAAGCCCGAGTCGCTCCCAGACTCCATTCCCGGCCTCTCCCTTCCGCCCAGCCAATCAGAGCGCATAGGCCAATCTGTGCAACTCTGTCGTCACGGGGATTCCCCGCCCAGCTCCTTCCGGTAACCAATGGAAAACGAGTTCGCGAGAGTGTCCCGCCCTGGGCCGACAGCCACGGACCAATGGGAAATAGGGGTTGAGCGGTGGCGCGGCCGGCGGTAGGTGGAGTCACCCCGGGCCCTGGACGGAAGGCTGGCGGGATCAACCCTGCCCTGTGGCTTGGCGCATGGCTGTGTGGGTCCTGGGAGGCCGCCTTGGCCTTCGCGGGTCCCTCGGGGCCGGCAGGCTACTTTGTCCCCGTTTCCAGAGCCGCGGTCCCCCGGGCGTGGAAGACGGGGACAGGTAAGTGCCTGGCTGGGAGGGTATCTCTAACACCTGGAATTGTGGGCGCCATAGTGACGTCGCACCGCTATGAGGTAACCAGGGCACCTGCCAGGTGCTGTCCTCTGTCTTGACGTCACCACGGCAATGTAGGCACCGTGGAAGCCAGAGACCAAGATTTCTTTGCACAAGAAAAGCCCGCCCGAAGCTCAAGGCAGGGCATATCCCAGGTGGCCCAGGAGGGGCCTCAATTCAGGTTTTCACCCAGCCCCAAAGCCCTTTACACTTTCAGACACAGACAGACACCACGTGACCTGAACATGGCTGTCATCGTGCACCTTGAGGCTTGCACCCGGTTCTCAGACCCCAGAACCTGTAGAGGACCATGAATTAATAATGGAGCGGTATATTACTCATAGATCCAGGCATCTAACCTTTGAATAACCATGTAACGTCACGGTTTAACGTTGAAGTCTGTAGTAGAGGTGTTATGTTGCTATTTGGAAAATGCCAGTGTTTTGAACCTGGTTTTGGCAATTCTTGATTTCTGAGTACTGCACCTTGAAGTTTCATAGAATGGAAGTGGCCCATGGTTCTTTCCCCCCAAGAGGCCCTGACTTGGTGGAGTAGAGGGTAAGAGTTTGGGTAGAGGAGAAGCAACAGTTTAGGGTCTGGAGTAAGATGGCCTTGGGCATGAGTCCCAGCCCTGCCTCTTCCTCCCTTGGTGGCTTAGGAAGTTGGGTCTCATCTTGTGAGCTACAATTTCCTTAACAGTAAAATGCAGGTCATAGGTAGTGCCTACTTTTAGGGCTGTGGGAAGGCCCCAGGGATAATTTCAGAAGATAATGTCAGTAATCCACTTAGTGCAGTGCAGAGCCTGGAAAAGTGACTGATAAATTCTTTTAGTGAATATTGAGCATCTGCATTGAACAATGCATGACATCAGCTACTCTGCAGATGTGGACGTGGGCAAGACACAGAACTTGCCCACAAAGGGCTTACGACTAAGAGGGATACGGAGGGGAAAGATGTCAACAAGAGAATTAAGCATGGGGGGTAAGTGCTGCCTCCGAGGTTACGAGCAGCATGCTGGGACCCACAGAAGGAGGTGCCCCACTGTGTAAGCCATCCCCACTCACTACCTCTCTTTTTTTAAATTAATTTATTTTTGTTAGAGATGTTTCTCCTTTTCCCCCCTACTGATTCTCCCCTCCCCCTCCCTCTCCGCCCTGTCCCCAGCGTTGTTGTCCATGTCCATCATGCATGCATACATGCATATAAGTTCTGTGGTTTATCTCTCCCCCACCACCCCTCTTCTGGGAATTGTCAGTCTGTACCCCACTTCCACGTCTCTGGGACTACCCCATTGCTCAGACTGTTATGTTCATTATATTCCACAAATAAGTGAGATCATATGATACTTGTCTTTCTCTGTTTGGCTTCTTTCGCTTAGGATAATACTTTCCAGGTCCCTCCATGTCGTCTCAAAGGATAAGAGATCTTTCTTTCTTACAGCTGCATAGTACTCCATTGTGTATATGTACCACTGCTTTTTTTATCCATTCGTCTACTGATGGACATTTGGGCTGTTTCCAGAGCTTAGCTATTGTAAATAGTGCTGCTATGAACATGGGGTACATATATTCTTTCTGATTGGTGTTTCAGGCTTCTTAGGCATATTCCTAGAAGTGGGATCACTGGGTCAAATGACAGTTCAATTTTTAATTTTCTGAAGTAACACCATATTGTTTTCCACAGTGGCTGCACCAGTCTGCATTCCCACCAGCAGTTTACTAGAGTCCCCTTTTCTCCACACCCTCGCCAGCGCTTGTTGTTGATGATTTGTTGATGGCGGACATTCTGACAGGTGTGAGGTGATATCCCACTACCACCTCTTGATGTCTGTTTTCTCATTAGGCCACAGCCTTCCTCGAAGACACCCAAGATCCCCAAGATTTACACCAAAACAGGAGACAAAGGTAGGGTGGGGACAGATGAAAAATGCAAAGAGCAACATGGCAGAATCCATTTTAAAGTTCTTCCAAATTATTTGCAGCCACTAAAAAGTGTGTGGCAGCCCTGGCTGGGTGGCTCAGTTGATTGGAGAGTCCTCCCATACACCAAAATGTTGAGGGTTTGATTCCTGGTCAGGGCGCATGCAGGAGGCAACTGATCATTGTTTCTCTCTCTCACTAAAAAAAAAAATCAATAAATATATCCTTGAGTGAGGATTAAAAAAAAAAAGTATGTGGCAGATCTCAGTATATATCACCAAAGTGTGATGTGATATGAAAAAGGTCCAAAATATATTAAGTGATAAAGCAAGTTGCAGAATAATCCAAATACTCAGAATCATTTGGATAAAAGGTTATGTGGGTATGTGCACACATGTATATGTGTTCAGGTATGCATAAAACAGTCTGAAAGGTTACACCTTGGACTATTATAACCTGGGAGAGAGATTGAATTTTGAGAGAAGGGAATGGACAGAATAGCTTTCATTATTTACTGTATGTACTTTTATCCTATTATTTTTTTCTAATAAACAAATATCACTTTGATAATATAAAAAATACCAGAACAGCCCTGGCCCGTTTGGCTCAGCAGTTAGAGCGTCAGCCTGCGGACCAGAGAGTCCCGGGTTCAGTTCCCACTAAGGGCATGTACCTCGGTTACAGTTCGTCCCTGCCCCGGTTGGGGTCATGTGGGTGGCAACAACTTGATGGCTTAACTCTTGTTTATATTAATTAGCCTATGGTGAAATTGGTTTTGTGATACAGTGTGTGGGCTTCTAGGGTGGTCATGTTCTGTTTCTTGATCTGAGTGCCAATCACAGAGGTATATTCAGTTAGCAGCAATTCATCAACTTGTACCCTTATGATCTGAGCACTTTTCTGCGTATATATTATACACGAAATGGAATTTTTTCTAAAAAGTGCATATCAGGAAAAAAAATCTTATTTTGGGCAGCTAAACATTTTTGTTTCACAGGGTTCGCTAGCACCTTCACTGGAGAAAGGAGACCCAAAGACGACCAGGTGTTTGAAGCCTTGGGAACTACAGATGAATTAAGTTCAGCTATTGGGTAAGGGAGGGATTGGTCTTGAGGCTGAGTTTGAAATGAGCATCAGTAAATGTAATTAACATGAAGCCTTTGAGACTGCTGGCTAGTCTCAGGGGCTGCCTGCCAACCCTTGATGAACCTGCCTCGGCCTGGAAGCACAGGAGCATCTGGTCAGCTCCACAAGGCTGCCAGGCCACAGGCGCCTTTCCCTTCTGGCGCTGCCTGCTCCTGCGCTGGCATCTGTCCCACGCCATGTGAAGCTGCCCTGCCCCTCATCCCGGCACCCGCACTCTTCCAATGAGTACATGTGTGCCATTGAAGTGCATATATTAAGTGAAAGAGGTGAGTTGAGCCCAGCATACACTGCATCAGATGTGTTCTCTTTTAAATAAGAGTATACACAGCCAGAGTTTAGAAGGACTCAGGGAATTAGCCAGGTTCAGCCAGGCCATGCTGTGATAGCAGACAGCCCCCAAATCTCATGGCTTACACCACCAAAGGTGTATTTCAGGCTTTCACATCAAGCCAGTCACAGGTTGGGAGTGTTCTGTTCCACATGATGTCACTCTGGGACCTGGGCTGGCAGGACGGCCTCTGCCTGGGACAACATCAGTAATTGTGGCAGAGGGAAGAGTGATCATGCAGAAGCCCACACTGGCTCTGAAAGCTTCTGTGAAGTGACACGTCACTTCTGCTCACATTTCACTGGCCAGAGCCGGTCACGTGGACATGCCAACCACAGTGCAGTAAGAGGGGCAGCAAGTATTTGATAGCAATTGTCCAGTCCCCCAAGCTCAGCAAGCTGTTGACAGTCTGAGTAGCAGTTACCTCAAGTGCTGGTTCAGGACCTCTGTGGGTGAAGGTCATGGGAAGCAGACAGAAACTGGCTTAACATTCTCTACTATTGCTGGCTGGCTGTGTGACTTCAGGCAAATCACCTGGCCTCTCTGAGCCTCTGAGTAGGAAGTCCCACCTGGAGCATTGCTTCCTCCAGGAAGCCCTCCCTGAATCCTTGCCAAGGCCAAGTTTCCCAGGAATCTAGCCTTTTCCTTCAGAGCACTGACCTCAGTTTGCAACGTCACCTTCAGTCATGGGATATTCAATTCAGGTCTCCCTCTCCTGCTGAACAGAGCCTGTGCCACCTCTCACCACTGAATCGCCCGGACCTGGTCAGAGTAGGCACTGGAAAAGGAATTGTTGACTGGATGAGTCATTAGTGTAAGAAGAGGCATTTTGAGTAACAAATACCCTTTACCAAATGGAAGGTTATAATGTTCTTATTGTCAGCAAGAAATAACACTGTAGCTATTATAGCCAAATTAGCTAAATGGCCCATCACCTGAGAATCTATTGCCTACAGCAAAACAGGGCCTGGGGACATTATATTAGAGGCCAATTCTTTTTCCTTTTGCCTCATAGGTTCGCTATGGAATTCATCGCAGAGAAGGGCCACCCATTTGCGGAGGAGCTTGAGAAAGTGAGTAACGTCTTGCCCCAGGCTGGGATTTTTTTTTTTTTTAATCCCCGAGGCCTGGTGACCCTAACTGCATTTGCCATTTGATCATGGCTTCCTCTCTGTGTCACCTGGGACTAGTCACACCTCCTCTGAGCCTCAGTTTCTCCATCTGTAAAACGGCGACACACAGAGATAACCCTCACAGGCAAGAGAGGGAAAGGTAAAGGGAAGTGGTCTCTGCCCCCCAGGGGGCATTGGCCGTGTCTGGGAACATTTTGGTTATCACAACCGAAGGTGGAGGTTCTACCAGCACCTAGCGGGCAGAAGCCAGGGATGCCGCTTGCATCCCACAGTGCACGTGACAGCCCCACCACAGACAGTGACCTGGCCCAGAATGTCAGTGGCACCAAGCTGGGAAAGCCAGAAGCCAGACTGCAGTAAGCCCTCGGCCAGCGGAGCTCATGGTTACTAGTGAAACTGTCTTCCAAAAGCACCCGAGGCCCTGGTCCACAGAGCCTCCAGCAATGGAGACAGGGGCGCCTTCCCAGGACACACAGGACGTGTCCAGGGCTTCAGTCCCCAGACTGACCTGCGTCTTTTGAAACTGCTCCCCGGAGGGTCAGCCCTCAGCCCGCTCCAGTCCTCCAGGCCAGGCTGGAGCTCACTTGGGCTCCTAGGAGCGGACCGAGGGCAGTGAGGGGGCTGCAGGGTGGGAGGCCGCAACTGCTGGAACATTCTGTGAGCGAGGCACCTCCTGGGTGACGGTTTCCAGCTTCATAAAGGGGAACTTCACGTCCACAGTGGTCATTTCTCCCTCCTGTGCTCGTCTCTGAGCGGGGTTTGCAGAGGGAGAGCTGGGGCAGTGACGTGATGACCCCCCCACGCTTGTCCTTTGGGTCCCAGCTTCAGCATCACTTCCTCCAGTGCCTCCCCTGGCCAAGGCTACCTCCAGCTGGGTGGGGCGCCTCTCCCAGCCTCCCCCAGCTCCTGTGCTTCCCCTTTAGCAGCAGGCGTCACCAGGAGTGTCAGACTGCCTGGTCCCCTTTCTCCCCACCCAGCCGGGTCACCCTGAGGGGTCAGACTGTGGCTTGTTCACCCAGGGGCTACTCCCTGGGCTGTGGAAGATTGCCAGGCAGCCTGTCTGCTGCTGTCTTCACATCATCCCATTTGATCCTCGCAGAAGCCCAGAGAGGGTGACTTGCCCTAGGCCCCACAGCCAGAGATCAGCGAGCTGGGATCCCATTCCCCACCAGGGCAAACTCGATCCAGTGTTACCTGGGGTGATCGCTGTGTTTGCCAACCACAGGCATTATTGTTACTTCCCTTCCACCAGAAACCAGACAGCAAGCAGACAGTGATGCACCTAGGGTCTGCTGGTCAGTGGCCCAGGGAGGGTCTAGTCCACTGCTAGGTGGGAACCTCTGCACCCATCTGCTGTGTCCTGCTCCTGTCACACTCAGGGGCCATTTTATCAGAGGTCACAGCTCCACTCCCCACCTGACCAGGCACAAGGTACAGGTGTTTGTGGGTCTTGTTGGCACAGGAGTTAGGCATTTGTCACGCAGGGGCCTGGAGTCCTTTCAGCAGAGCTCAGGAGGCCACCTCTGTTATGAGCACCCCTGGCCCTCAGAGCACAGTCCTCACCCGGCCACGCATCCTGTCCTGAGACACTCCACACGCCTCTGCTGACCATATTCTCCCAGGTCCTGTGCTGCATAACCAAGACAGCACTGGCGGCTGTTACAGGCTGGAAAAGCAAAGCTGTTCGTTTAGAGAAAAGAAAAAGAACCTCACTGGGCCCAGACACATGGGAGATGAGGGTCAGGGTGAGCAGATTCTTCTTGACCATCACTAGGCACTTGATACTCATTGTCTTTGTAACCCAGCCGTCCCCAAGGCAGCCAGGTCCCCCCCAACAGGTCTAGTGTCCAGCATGCTAAAGATTTGGACAGAGCTTGCTAGTTAGCCGTTAAATTCCAGCTAATTAAAGGTTCTGACAGTCCCCAACAGGCCAGCCCCGCACGCCTTGCTCAGTCAGGTGGTCCCTTTGCAGGAACCAGTGGTCTCCGCTTGGTCCCCAACAATAGATCTTCATTCCCACCTTCTGTTGCTTCCCCAGATCCAGTGCTCCCTGCAGGACGTCGGCTCTGCCCTGGCGACACCTCGATCCTCAGCCAGGGAGGCTCATTTAAGTAATTCTCTCCTGACTTACTTAGGAGGGCTGGGCCCGAGGGCGGGGACCTCGGTGTCACCTGGGACCCCTGTTAGCCTGGCCCGCAGACCCTGAGAGGGAAGAACCTTTCAAGAGAATGGAAGTGGTGTGGAAGGCACGGGCAGGAAGAGCGGAGGGCGGTTTCCTCCATGACCCAGCGGGCCATGGGCCTCACGGCCGTGTCCTGCCCCTTGCCTCCTCAGGACACACCACATTTGAGACGGGGCCCATCCTGGAGCTGGAGCGTTGGATCGACAAATACTCCAGCCAGCTCCCCCCGCTCACCGCTTTCATTCTGCCTGTAGGTACTGGGCAGCCTGTCTGGCGGGTGGCTGCAGGCCAAGTGTCGTGACAAAAACACTGGGACATTGAATAAGTCCCCTTCTTTAATTTTTTACAGTGACAGGGCTGTCCCCCACATCCCCTGCCCTCCCATCCCTGTCCACTCCGGAGGGGGGTGTCCAGCGGGTGCACCCTGGCAGGGCACCCTGCGTGCAGCACACTGCCTGTTGGGGTGGGAGGCAGGGCCCACCTGTCTGCAGGGCACGCCTGTCTGTGCAGAGCCCACCTGTCTGCAGTGGGCACACCTGTCTGTGCAGGGCCCACCTGTCTGCAGGGCACACCTGTCTGTGCAGGGCCCACCTGTCTGCAGTGGGCACGCCTATCTGTGCAGGGCCCACCTGTCTGCAGGGCACACCTGTCTGTGCAGGGCCCACCTGTCTGCAGGGCACACCTGTCTGCAGTGGGCACGCCTATCTGTGCAGGGCCCACCTGTCTGCAGGGCACACCTGTCTGTGCAGGGTCCACCTGTCTGCAGTGGGCACACCTGTCTGTGCAGGGCCCACCTGTCTGCAGTGGGCACGCCTATCTGTGCAGGGCCCACCTGTCTGCAGGGCACACCTGTCTGTGCAGGGCCCACCTGTCTGCAGTGGGCACACCTATCTGTGCAGGGCCCACCTGTCTGTGCAGGGCCCACCTGTCTGCAGGGCACACCTGTCTGCAGTGGGCACGACCCCCACCCCTCTGTCCAGCCAACGCCGCGCTCTCCTTGCAGTCGGGAGGCAAGAGCAGCTCTGCGCTGCATCTCTGTCGGGCCGTGTGTCGCCGAGCTGAGAGACGGTAAGGGGCCCAGGGGAGAGGGAGCCGGGTCAGAGCGCGAGGCAGGCCGGCCAGCGGGGTCACCTCCATGTCATCCGGCCACCCATCAGCAGGCCTCCTGGCACCTTCACCGTGCCAGATGGACACCAGGCCAGACCAAATCTCCGTCCACAGAGCCCCACATTGTGGAGGGGAGACAATGGTCTGTGACCAGACAAATGACAGGCGAGGTGACTGCACATCGAGATCAGAGCTTGTGGAGAAACAGGCAGTTACGGGGGGCGGGGCCTAGTGAGTTTAGTTGGCCGTTTCTTGTAATACTCACATGGTATGAAATTCCAAAGGGTGTTCAGTGACCATCCTCCCCTGTGCCCCTGCTCCCCCATTCCTGGGGGTTAATTTCAGTCTGAGCTGAGTAGAAATGACTGGAGCCCACACTGGGTAAAGGGCTGTGAGGGAGGCTGAGGGGTGCCAGGGTGATCCAGCCTGGGCACAGCGAAGGTTTCTCTCAGTCACACCGTGGGAGCCAAGAGTTGAAGGGTGGGGGTGGGGGTGGGGTGGGGGTGGGAGGCAGAACAGAGTGTCCAGCGCGAGGGGATGGCTAGGGCAGAAGCGGCAGTCTGCATTGGAAGGACAGGAAGGAGCCACGTGAACCAGAGTGAGGGGCATGGGGAACAGTGAGGCCAGAGGCTGAGCTCAAGCCCGAAGGCCTGCCTTCACCCTGAGAGTACCAGGAACCCAGGGGTGGGTTTTAGGCCATGGGGTCACATGGAAGGACGCTGCTGGGTAGAGAAGGGCCCAGAGGGACCCTCGTGGCCATGGGGGTGCAGGTGGAAGCTCTCAATGGACCAGCCACCTGCTACCCCAATCCCTTAACTCGGAGTCTGGAGAGGAGGGACCCCCAAAAGCTACTGACAGCCTTTTAAAGGAAACTTTAAAAGTACTTACAGAATCTCCATTTACCCCACTTAGACTAGGCTGCTACTCAGCTTTACAGAGAAATGGAAATAAAGGTACTTTGATACAAGTCAGGGTTGTGCCGGGCACTTTATGTTCACTATTTCATTGATTCTTTTTTTTATCCTCACCCAAGGACATTTTCCCATTTTTTATTCAAATAGAGCAGGAGGGAGAGAGAGAGAGAGAAACATCGATGTGAAAGAAACACATCGAGTGGCTGCCACCCACACGACCAACCAGGGCCGGGGACTAACCGCACCCAAGGTACATGCCCTTAGTGGGAACCAAACCCCGGTCTCTCCGACCGCAAGCCAACGCTCTAACCGCTGAGCAGAACTGGCCAGGGCTCATTGAGTCTTCCTGATGACCCTGGGAGAGGGGGTGGCAGCCCCTGCTTTATAGGTATAAGAAGTTGGAGTTCAGAGAAGTGACGGCACGAACCTGACTGGTTCATGCAAGAGTCTGGAGTTGAGCCCAGGTGTATCTGGTCCAAACCCGAGCTCTGTCCACAGCCCTGCATCATAGGGTTTTATCCTCCATGAAAGGCTCTTGGGCCCAAGTTGTTCCTAAAGGGATCTTGGGTAACAGAAAGAGCTTTGGCTTCAAAAGAAAAAGTCATTTGTAAAAAGCCATGCACATCAGCCATGCTTATAATAGTAAAACACTGGGAACAACCCAGAGGCCCAGTGGTGGGCGATGGCCGAGCAGTGAATGGGTCCTCAGTCCATGAGACAGGAGGCATGCATGTGGGACACCAGCAGGCAAAAAAGCCCCTCGAGCAGGGGACACCAAGCCAGAGCCTCAGCTTTAGGGCAAGCATCTCCTTGCAAGGGTTATGCAACAGAGGTGACGTGCATGCAGGGCCTAGCAAGGGCCTGCCCTGTCGTTCACACTCAGCAGACAGCAGTCCACTGTCTAGAATGTCCACATAGACTGGCAAGGGCACCAGATCAAGCTACAGTGGTGTCCTGGTGACATGCAGGCCTGGGACGCAGCTCTGGGTCCTGCATGTGTTGATCGCGTAACGTTGATCCTGTGTGATGCTGTGAACCCTCCCTTTGCAGCGTGGTGCCCCTTGTCCAGATGGGTGAGACGGATGCAAACGTGGCCAGGTTCTTAAACAGGTACTTAGATGGAATTTGGAGATCTCTCTCCTCTGGAAAACGACATTATGGGAAGTAACAACAATGGAATGGGCCTCACTCATTCATGTCATATTCACTGAGGGTGTGCTGTGTGCCAGGCACTGTGCCGGGCACAGGAATGCAGCTGAGAACAAGGCGGATACAGTCCCTACTTCAGAACAAAAGGACAGTGCAGTTGCAAGGGGCCTGCTTTGAGGCCAGGTAATGGGGGGGGGGGCTTGAAAGGTGTCCCCTCGTGGCCCCTGGGCAGTGTGAGCTGAGAGGAGCCAGCCAGGCAAAGCAAGCTCAGGACCATCTAGGCTCAGGGCCCTGGCACAGGACCCAATTAGCTGGCTGACCCAGGGAGGGCCCCTGCAGCCCCACACTAGGCCTCCACAGCCAGGGCTACAGTTGGCCCAAGGCCTTCTTCCCTGGGTTCTGCTCCAGCATTGACTTGTGCAGCTTTAGTGTGGGCAAGGCCAGCACCCATGGGCAGGCCAAGAGCTGGGGGACACCTGGGAGCTGTCCTGGGTGTCCAGAAAGTGGCCCCTTATTGGGGCCCACTCCCACAGGGACATAGCCAGAGATTTGATGGGTCCTGACCAACTCCTTTCTTCCTGCGAGGGGTGTAGGCCTCAGCGGGGTGAGGAATGTTGCACTCATGGTCATAGCAGTGACTCCTTAGGGGAGCCCTTGTCACTAGAGAGGTACTGGGACTGAGGTGGGTCTGCTCTGGCATGGTCTACAGTGTGTGGGTTCTTGACTTTGTGCAGAAAAGATTTTCCAGGTGATTTTGAGAGTACCTTTATTAAAGCTGGGACAGTGAAACAAAAGAAAGGCTTAGGATAGAAGAGGCAAGATCACAGCAACAGGAGTGAGCCTAGACTGGGCTACCTAGGCTCAGGAAAGAAAGTCACGGTAACAGAAGTGAGCCACACTGGGCTGCGTGGACTCAGGAAACAAGTTAAAGAGGCAAAAGGAGGGCCCTTGGAGACAGGTTCATGGGGTGAGCCCAGGATGAGCTGCCGCTGCCCACTGCTCCCCTGGTTGTGTCTCAGGACCCTTAGAGCTTCAGAGAGAGATCAAAAGTATACCCTAGGAAAGGGGGGCACAGGCTTGCTCCAGAGGGAGTGCGTGCATGCTGACATTCTTTGTCTTAAGGGTTTTTCTCTGTTTCTAAAGGCAAGAGTTTTAGGGAAGGTCTCAGGGGAGGGTCTCAACAGAATCATTAAGGGCTTTCCAGGTGTGTTCTTTAATAGGCTGACGCACAAGATGAGCCTACAGGAGTTTCGGACCATTCTGTGGCCAGCTTCATGCTGGCACTGATGGCACCGCTGGGTCTGTTAGCTCCCTCCTTGACCAGAGTGGTTAAGCTGCTCACTCTCGGGTTGGGGAGGACATGTGTAAACCATTTGCTCCTCCGTGTCCTTGGTTAGGGAAGATAAGATCTTAGGATTTATTTGCAGGCTGTTAATTGCAATGGCCTCGTTTATTTATTTATTTCTTGGCTTTGTTTAACTATCTGCCTCCGTTTCCCTCATTCCACTGGCCAAGGAATTTTCCTAGCCTCTGACTGTCCTGCCTCTCTCCGACAGTCCTGTAGTGTTCTAAGGGCCGAGTCAGTTCATTCCCTCAGCAAGGAAGGTGTCCCTGAGCGGGTGAGAGACAGGCTGGCCAGGCTGCCTGGCGTGAGGAGGAGGGACCTGGCGTGAGCTGGCCTCAGAGGGCGGAGGGGGCAGGGAGAGGTGGAGGAGGTGGTGCTCAGTGCTCTGCATGAAAACCAGCAGTGCAGGAAGCTTAGACAGGAGAGCTCTGAACTCACCGCAGGCGCCTCAGGGCAGGCTGGGTGTCTCCTCTCGTGTTTCTCTCCACCCCAACTCCTGCCCAGAGGCCCCATCCCTGGGTGTTCAAAGAAAGAAGGGAGGGGACTAGAGTCTGGCGGATGGAATACTCCAGGCCACAGCTTCTCGATGGGACAGCTGGCAGTGTCTGGAGTCATGTTCGTTTGGCACAACTGGGTGGAGGCCAGGGATGCTGCCCAGTGTCCCACAATGCACGGGACAGCCCCCCTCCCCACGACAGCGAAGGATCCAGAATGTCAGTAGATTGAGAGCCCTGCTCTAGACTTCTCTACTCGAAGCAGGTCCTCAGACCAGCAGCGCCAGCGTCACCTGCACATCACCAGGCTCTCCAGGGACTTGTGTGCACACTACAGTGTGGGAGGCACTCGTCCTGGTCACTGGAAGGTGCAGAAAGCAGCCCAGGGAGTGGCCCAGTCACCAGCCCTGTGAGGTTGGGTGGGGTAGCGGCCTTGTTCTGTAGGAACCGCCCTGCCCTGGTGCCAGAGCTGGGCGCTTGGCTGTCACGGAAGCTGGCTCCAAGTGCCATCCATCAAGCCCGAGTTGGCTGCTGCTCTTGTCCCACCCGATGCTCCTGGGGCACATGATTTATATTTCCTCCTTGAAGGCTAATGTGGGAAAGACCTAGTTAGCATTGATTGCTCCTTTCGGATCACTCCGTCTGCTTCTCTTTGCCCCTCCAGACTCAGCGACTATCTCTTCACGTTAGCCAGATATGCAGCCATGAAGGAGGGGAGTCAAGAAAAAATATACAAGAAAAATGACCCGTCGGACTGAACCTGAGGCCCTTGGAAATAATGGAAAGGGGGAGCTTTGTCGACCCCTCCATGGTGACCCAGCGGGGAAAAGAAGAGTGTGCCCTTGGCGTCCTGACCACGAAGGCCTCACCCGGGGCGCTCAGCTGGTCCTTTGTCGAGACTCCTGGCCCTGCCAGACCCCTGCCCCTCTCCAGGAGCTGCGGCTGCCGGAGGGCTGTGCCTGCGCCGGGCTCCCGTGGGCCTGGAGGGCCTGGGGTGAGTTCAGTATTGCAGAGAGAAAGGTGAAGTGATTGTTGTAAAGAGAAGGAGCCACACAGAAAAAAGAATAAAAGTGGGAAAGTCTTGACCCGAGTGTGTGTGTGTGAGAGAGAGGGAGAGAGAGAGGGAGCACCCTTCCGCCGCCGACCTGGCTCGCTCAAGGATTTGGAATGGTACCTTGGAAATGTAATTGTGATTCACCTGTGCCAAAGGGGCTTTAAATGTCACATTTATAAGGGGAAGGCAGACAGGATTTGGAAGTTTAGTCACCTCTGAGCCACCCATCACCTCAGTGTGGGGGAAGGACCACTGCAGAGTGACGGGTGAGCCTCGGAAACACTCAGCGTGGGCCGGGCGTGCGTGGCAGGGGTGCAGCCTGGAGAATCCTCTCCGGAGGGGATCCTCCCTCCCTCCAGGGATGAAGATCCCGGTGAGAGGAACACCACCGCTTAGAGGAGGGCATGTCCCGCCAGGCAGATGGGGCCAGGGCCGAGGTGGAGCATATTCAGCCGGAGACCACGAGATCCGTTGCCAGCGCGGCCGGCACAGACGAGACACCGACACCTCCCTGGGGTTGCACTTGGCTGGTGTATGCGTCAGACCCATGCCATGGCTGCGTCTTATTTCACTTGTCACCACGCTCCTTCCGCTAGGAAACGACTCTGCAGGGCCAGCTGTGTCCTTGGGAAGGGGTTTATGAAGGGCGAGGAGGCGGCCCTGAGAACCTGAAGATTCCACGCTGCCAACTGCAGGAAATGACTTCAGAAGGGCAGGCTCTTGCTGTCGGTCAGGGCGGAGAAGCCGGTGAGCTCCATCCAGCACTGGTTTGTTTGCTGAGTGCTTGCTTCCCGGGGCTCAGGAAGGCGGTCACAGCTAGCATCTCCCCAGCATTAGAAGCGTCAGGTCAGTCACGTGCCGCCTCCCCCTCGAGTGTTGCTGGGTCCTTTTGTTCCCAGCAGGCTGCAGTGGCCCCTAAGCCTGGGGCAGAGTGGCTGAGGTGCCGGAGAGTGAGAGTGAGAGTGAGAACCATCCTGCTCCCTCCCCTGGGGCCCCGCAGTGAGCGCCAGGTCTGGACAGCAGGTGCTCCGCGTTTGTGAGCAGAACTGAAGCGGCAGCGTGAACATTGCAGGGGAGGCTCCGGCGGCTGCAGCAAATGGCTCACGCACTCAGTTCTGCCCGCTCCTCAACATCTTCCAGGAAGGAGCAGACGTAGAACAGGAGCCCTGCGCGCTTAGCCACGCTGAGACCTACCCCACGAAGGCCGAGAGAAGCCGAGTAAATTCAGTGTCCTCAGGGGATGCTCTTTGAAACAGGGCAGTTTGCCTGTTGCAGGCCTTCCGCACCAGCCCTTGCTGGGAGGGGCTGTCACAGGCCAGACGTTGACCCGGGTTTGTAGGCCCCTCTGCACCTGCCCTCCACCAGCAAACGTCCCCCGAGAGACAGCCCGGTGCAGGGCAGCCTTGGCATCTCCGGGGGGGTGTCCTGTGCCACCAACCTGGGAAAGACGAGTTCTGCTTTGGGGGCCCGGGGATGGGCTGGCTGGAAATCTTCCGCAGTGCCTCATGAAGCCATACCGGAACCCGAGGCAAAATGCGCACCCCACGCACACTTAAGCGAGAGAGCCCCGGGTCTTGAACCCAGTGGGAGAAGTCGGTGAGAGCTCCGCAGTCAAAACAACTCTGTGAAGCTCCGCGTCGCCCCGTCTGCACAGCACTGTCAGCCTCACGAACGACTGTCCCCACTGCCAGCAGAGCAGGGCTGGGAAAGAAACACAGGCTTTCATTTAAAACCGGCAACTTGCTGGTCATAGGTTTTTATTTTTATTTTTTGCATAATGTGATGTTTAAAAATACTGTGTGAAAATATTACTTACCTTGATTACTGGGGTTTGGGGCATTCCCATACATGTTGCACCCAAGAAAGTGCCTCACCTGCCTCACTTTAGCTCAGGTCCATCTCTCGGGAACCCCAGAGATGAGCTGGTGGCTGGACATCCTATCAGCAAGAACCCCACCATGTTAATGATGCCAGCCAGCATCACGCCAGGCCCCGAGCTCCTCAGTCTTTTTAATCCTCACAGCAGCCCTGAAGGAGGTACTCTCTGCTCTTGCTTTGCAGGTGAGGAAACTGAGGCTCAGAGGAACCCACTTGTCTCAGGGAGTCGGTGCCAGGATGTGGCCTTGTGACTCCTGGCCTCCCCCCCACCGCCACTTGACAGTCATTTTAATCACGGCCTGGGCCGCCGAGAACAATGTCAGGCGCTAATAGATTCTGCTGTCTCATTTCTCAACCTAGTTTCCCTTAACTGATATTTCATGGCTATTGTTAATGCGCATTTTTCACTGAGTAATTTTCACAGCCCGAACTTGTAACACATCCCAATGACAAACGTCCCTGGTTCCGAATCCCCCATCAGCTGCAATGTCACCCTCGCCTCCTCCCCAACACCTTCCTCCGACAGCCCATCCAGTTTTATGATCGCTCTGTCCCAGTTATCACTACTGAACCTTTAAGAATCCAGACGCATTTCAAGTTAATTGAATAAAATTCTTTGTATAATAAATTCTGCATGAATGCTACATAAATCAGTGCCTGGGAGGATTTGTGGCCCACCCCTCCCTTCAGACCAGGCCCAGGAATCTCACCTCAATCCTCACCTTTTATAACGAGACGATACCAGCTTCCAACGGGTCAGGGACTAGGTCCATGACCTAGCACTTGGTAGCAGCTCAAAAAAAAAAAAAAAAAAGTAGCTATTGCTGTTGTTGAATCACATTTTATCCTTTCTAAAGCACTTTCAAATAGCTCAGGCCCAGGTGGGGCCCAGGGGACCACTGTGCACACCCCTGGTGTGTTTAGACCTGCTGAGGGCAGGGAAGACACGTGGCCTCCAGAGGGCCTGGTCCCGGTCAGACGGGCACAGGGCTCTAGGAACACCATGCCAACATGCGAGGGAGAGGTGACGGTCACAGAGCAATGAGAGCGGAAAGGGATCTCAGAGATCACTGCCCCGTTTTACAGATGAGGGGACTGAGGCTGGGAGGAGAACTTGGTAAGTAAATATTAGTAACCACACTTCAACCACTGGTTGTGCCCAAGCAAGCAGCTTACATGCAATAATAGTTCATTTTATTCTTTCAACAGCCCATGAAGGTGGTACTGTTATTAGCATCCCTAACTTACAGATGAGGAAACAGGCCCAGAGAGGAGAAATGACTTTCTCAAGGTCACATGTCTCTCGGAGGTGAAGCTAGGCTTTAAATTCAGGCTCTGTGCCTCCAAACCCCACAACTGGCATTTGCTCAACACTTAGCTACATGTTCAACTGAACCACGATGCTGGGTTTTTATGTCTTCTTAGTTCTCAGAACCCTACGAGGTATTTACAGTTATTCTCCCCATTTCACAGGTGAAATAACTGAGGTTCAGAGGGGCGAAGTCACTTGCTCTGAATCACACAGTGTCTACTGGGATGATGATGATGGTTATAATGATATAAAAAACAGCTGATATTTATCGAACTCATCACCATGGCAATACAGGCGTGACCTCCGTGTGCACTGAACATGGACTCCACAGCAGCCCCATCGGGTAGCTATTCGAATCTTTGTTTTAGATACACAAACAGGCACAGGTGGACGGCGCCTTGGCCAGCGCCACACAGTGTCTCAGCTCTCCACAGTGATGCAGATTGCTCCAGGTCTCCCTGTGGGCAGCTGCAGAGCCAGGACAGACACCAGTATTCAGATTCCCACGGCTGGGGGCCATCTCGGGACAGTGGTGATCAGGACATGATTGACAATTAGGTGGGGCAACGGAGGAGAAGAGGGTACCATAAGCTCAGAGGACCCTCCCGACCCCACTGCAAACTACCTCTCTGAGGAAGGGCGAGAAGCCAGCACCAGTGCAGGGGACACGGGGGCAAAGGCAGCCCGGAGAACTGATTAAATAAATGGCAGGCATCCAGCTGGCCCGGGACCTGGGGGTGGCTGGGGGACCTCTCTCCCCCACTGCATGCTCCCAAGGCACGAATCCTTCGGCCCTCATCCCTCCCCAGAAAGCAGGTGCCTTTATTTACGATCACCTTGGAAGGGTCGAGCAGACATATGTTGCTAAGGGTCGTTTATTCTTGTTTATAAAATTTATGGCTTCACCTCGATTACACACTGTCAAAACGGGAAGGATTGGCCCCAAAGTCTCTTGCCGCATGACTGCCTCAGACGTGCGTACATCTGTTAACTCTGTAGGAGCTGTAGAGGGAAATAAGGTTGACGATAACTCACGAGCTAGCTGTCCCGTCACAGGTGTGGGCGGCAGGCTGCGAGGAAAGACATCCAGGTGCCCATGTAGGAATGGAAGTTGGGGTCTGCCAGTGGCCACGCCAGGTGGCATCGGGATCCTGCCCCTGCCTGCAAACGGACTCGGTCAGGGGACTTCGGATTGGGCAGCGGGAAAGCAGGAGCTGGATTCTGATGGCCCCCAGGGGTCCTGCCACGGGGCCAGGCAGCTGGAGAGAGTTGCAAGCCTGTGGCTCTCCACCTGCAGACTTCAGCGGGGAGACAGAAACGCTGACTTGCCACCGTTGGGGGCATTCGAGGTTGGTATGACCTTTCAGGAGGGCAATTTGGCAACGCAGACGGAAGTCCTAGAAACGCATCCTGATGGCCCAGCAGTTCTACAGCCGAGCATTTCTCCAGAGGAAGTGGTCAGACTCGTCAGTGGAGCCGTTAGGGGTTTTTCCTGGGCAGTGCTGCCCATTGCAGTGAAAATTTGGAAACAAATGTCCAACAACAGGGAGGTAATTATTACATAAGTGAAATAGTTAACAATAAGGGATTACAAGAAATATCAGAAAGCTACTGAAAATGATGGTGCATTACTATAGGTTTATTACTATGGAAAATTGTTCACAATCTATTCACACACACACACTCCGAGGTACAAAATGGTATATAATGGACCCAAATGCTGTAAAAGAAATACACCTGTGTGTATACACACCACAGAAACATGCACGGAGCCATTCCGTATGTTAATACTTATCTGTAAGTCATGGGATTACGGGATGTTTTA